GAAAAGCTCAGCGTCCACGATGGGACGCTCATCATGCCCGACAGTCTGGCAGCTTTGAGCCAGGAAGATTATGCAAAGGTTGGGAAGAAGGCCACGTTGAAGATGGATATGGTCATCATGCCCATCATGGTAAGTCATCCCTTCAACGCACTCCATCTACGGAGGCTAACACGGTATAGGTTATCATGTATGTCCGTAAGTAGCCACTGACTTTCGTCTTCCAATCCAATCTCGAACCTGACACACGTAAAGTCAACTACCTCGACCGTCAAAACATTGCCAGCGCCAAGCTCGCCAACATTACCACGGAACTCAACCTCAGCCAGGTCGAGTATCAGACCACTGTCAGCATTCTCTTTGTCGGCTACAGTACGTTCCCCTAAGCAGCTATTCCTGGGTGCTTTCGACTGACGATGGTCGCAGTTCTGATGCAGATCCCATCCAACATGATTGTCAGCAAGATCAAGTGGCCCGGGGCGTACATCTGCGCTGCCATGGCAGCGTGGGGCGCGATTTCGTCCCTCATGGCCGTCGTTCATAACTATGAAGGTCTCCTGATGGCTCGATTCTTTCTCGGATTTATCGAGGCTGTCTTCTTTCCGGGTGCCCTTTACTACCTGTCGCTCTTCTATAACCGTAAGCAGTTCGCCTTGCGGACGGCAATTCTCTACTCTGGGTCGCAGTTAGGCAACGCCTTTGGCGGGCTGTTTGCCATTGCCATCTTGAATTTGGATGGAACCAGTGGCCTTTCTGGGTGGCGATGGGTGAGTCTCTTCTATTGATATGATGTCTGTGTTGAAACATTCAGGCTAATACCATGCCAGCTCTTCCTCGTCGAGGGTGTCATCACCGTTGGACTGGCCATCCCGTTCGCCATGATTCTCCCCAACTCCAACAAAAAGATCCCGACCCTCACCCAACTCGAGTGCGAATGGGTACAATACAACTTCGCAGCCGATCAAGGCCAAGAGGACAACGCAAGCGAAGTGACCGCCTTCAAGGGCTTTATGATGGCCGTCGCGGACCCCAAGACCTGGATGCTAATGGGAATCCTCTACTCCGTATGTACCTCCTTTGACATCCCTCCCCAAACCGTCTCCCGGTAGGCATGTCGACTAACCACAACCACCAACCACAGACCTACATCGTCGGCGCCGTCGCAAACTTCTTCCCCTCCGTCGTCGGCGGCCTCGGCTTCTCCCGCACAATGACCTACGCCCTCACCGCGCCCCCCTTCATCCTCTGCGTGCTCACCATGCTCCTCAACGGCTTCCACTCCGACCGCAAACAGGAGCGCTACCTCCACATCGTCATCCCGCTCTGCATCACCCTCGTCGCCAACGTCATCGCCGTCTCGACCATCAACATCGCCGCGCGCTACGTCGCCATGATGCTGCTCCCGGGCTCCTTCTACGCTGCCGCCGTCGTCATCCTGTCCTGGATCACGGGTAGTCTGGCGCAGCCGAGCGTCAAGAGGGCCAGCGCCATCGCGCTGATTAATGCCATGTGTAACACGCCCAATATCTGGGGCAGCTATCTCTACTACGGCGCGCCGCGGTATATCACCGCGTTCATTGTGAACATTGCGGCGACGGGGCTGGCGATTGGGTTTGCTACTGTTACGCGGATCTGGCTGAGGAGGCTGAATGCGAAGTTGGATCGGGGCGAGGACTGTGGCAAGCATGGGCCGACTGCGGCGCAGGTTTCTACTGGGTTTAGATATCTTATCTAGGTTGAGCTGGAGATCAGTTTATGGGCCAGGGGGTGGCATCGGGACACCTACGAGATTTCAATGGACCGAAGTCGTAAATTGAATACAATGTGTTATATTCAAAAGTCTTCTCTCCATGAGAATTCAAGGGATTGGGTTGTGTTTTGTTCACAGAATAACTAACCCTAGCACTTGTGTCAACAAGTAGGCTGCGGGAGGTCATTACAAAATCAGGATTTCGCGACGAAGCCTAAAATTTCCAGTTGATAAAATAAGGTAGAATTAGAAAGCTTCTCTGATGTGTCTACTTACTCTTAAACACTATCGTAATCTAAAGCTTCACCCTCCCGGTAACCTCCTTCTCCGCCCTTTCGCTATTGACCAGCGCAGGGACGATATCCTCGATGCTGGCTGCACCCGCCAACGCCATATTCGTCTCCAGCTCATGCCTCAAAATCTGGATCAATCTCCTCACACCAGCCTCTCCATACCCGGCCGTCATCGAGTACAAAAAGGGCCGGCCAATGCCAACCGCACTCGCGCCCAGGGCCAACGCCTTGAGCACATCCGTCCCCCGCCTGATTCCACCATCCACAAACACCTGGAACTTTGCTTTCGTGTCCGGAGCGAGCAGATGCGGCGCGTAGCGCCTGATCTCCAGAAGCGTCAACATCGGCGCCTGAGCGGTGTCCTGGCTTCGCCCGCCGTGGTTAGAGAGCACTATCCCATCGACTCCGTGCTGGTGCGCGATAACAGCGTCCTCGACCGACTGGATACCCTTGATCACAATCGGCAGCGATGTCGTCTCCCGGATCCATTTCAGATCAGTCCAGGTAAGCCCTGCGTTCAACAACCCCGAGGCTGTTGTTTTGGCAACGCCGCTGGGTTCGGACAATGGCTCGTCACCCGCCGTCAGCCTCTCATCCCGCTCTCTCTTGCCGATGACGGGCGAGTCCACTGTCACGAAGATAGCCTTCGCGCCGAGGCTCTCCGCCTTTCGGATGGTGGCCTGCGCCTTTTCTCTGTTGCGGTCGACATATAGCTGGAAGAACAGCGGCTGCGCGTCGCCCTCCGCCCGCGCACCGAAGATGGCGTCTATCGACGCGCTGGGTTTCGTCGGCATGCAATATATGATCCCTTCCTTCGCCGCCGCCTTCACCAGGAGCGTCTCGGCCTCGGGGTGAGCATACTTGGCCTGGCCCGTTGGCGAGATGTAAAACGGCAGGGACGAAGGGAGACCAAGGATCGATGTGGCCGTGTTGATGGAGTCCACATTTCGGAGCACTCGAGGCCGCAGCGCCAGCCTCCGGAAGATGCGTCTAGAGTCCCGGATACTCTGCTCGTCTTCCGCGCCGGAGCAGTAATACGCCCATCCAATCTCGGACAGGTACTTTTCGGCCACCTTCTCAAAGTCGTCCGCGTTGATGATGGCGCCCAGGTGTGGAAACTTTGGCTTAGGTTTCTCTGGCTCCGGGATTGATGACTCTTTGGGGAGGGTTAGAGGGTCTACCGGTCCCAGACAGCGATCCGGTGACAGCGTTTCTGCGATGAGATCCGGGTTGTGGATGGAGTCGTAGTCTTCTGTTGCGTCACGACCAGCGCAGTTGAATATCAGCTTGGCGCCGCCGGGGTGCTCATCGAGGAACTCTGCAATGTCTTAGCCAAGGAGTGTAGTGATGAGAGCGGGAGATTTACCCGTGACGTCCCATACCTGGCCATGGATGACGACCCAGCACGAGTCCTTGGTGTTGTTCTTTGCTACTTCCGTGCCGCTCACCACCATCGTGACTAACTTGGTGAATGACCTGCGGGACGGGAAATGTGGGATAGGTCCAATGGGCGTGGTTAAGATGAGGCTGAGTGCTGGCCCGAGGAGATTGGCGCTTTGAGCAGCTCAAGAATCAGATCGTTCGAACGTCTCACCTGGTCTTTCCTCCCCACGCAATACTCATGGGGCTTGCTTGAAGCAGTCGAGCTCCACCCAGCTCCCGACAACAGGTTGGGGACAGACTCCGTGGGGGTCAGGAACGATGGCCTTTCTCCGCGTGCTGCTAGGCTCAGGCCGGCGTCGTGGGTTCAAACAGCGGACTGAAGTCCGTCCTAGCGTGCCGGTTTTCCTGGGACGCTTTGCCCTCTTCGTTCCCTACCGCAGAGCTCTCGCGACCAGAAAGCAGCGAGCGAAACCCCCACCCAGGCATGTCCGGGGTCGACGGGGCTCCTTTCCAGGCTTCTCCTCACGAAAGGGCGACCAGACCCTCCAAACATCTCCACGAAAAGTGGTGCGGCTCCGCTGCTGGATGCTGTTCGATTCGTCGTTGCTCTGATGTTGTTGGGCTTTCGTGCGGAGAAGCCCCCGGAGGTGTGTCTGGGGAGCTCGGGAGTTGTCCGGGGCCCCGGGATGCGCCCAGGTCTGCGGCTGACTCGCTCATGCGGGGTGAGGAGGAGGGTATCGGGAATAAAGCCGGGGCTGGACGCGTTTGGACGGCTCTCACGTTCGTCAACGCACAAGGGAAAATCGTCCGTGGAATTTCTACGGTTAAGCCTTGAGCAATTGATAAGAAAACCGGCGCCAGGGGAGAGATCATGTGTGATAGGGGCGTGATGCCAAATTCTTGAATTGAGGGCGTCAGCTGTTGAGCCAACTTTGCGTTACTATTGCATCCAACAATAGATAGCAATATCCATAAGACTGCTAGGTCGCCTGGAACCGACATGGTCCACAAACCTGTTTTCGTAGCCATTTTAACAGCAGCAGCAATGCGTCTGCCATCATCCTTGTGGAGACTCGATGGGGCTTCAGCGAGGGTGACTGACAGCCGAAGGTGACCCCCACTCATGGGGGTTCGTAGCTGGAATTGGCGGAGTGGCAGCAATGGTGATGACCATAAGAAACCGTGTATTCGCTCTTGTCACAGGAGGCGCTTAGAGCATTGTGTGAACACGGTAAAATGAACCATACTGATTGCCATTGCAAGACCAATACGTTGAATTATCTGTACTGGCCGTGTCCGAAAGTTCGTTGTTGGGAAACAGCGATTGAGGCGGCTCAACGAAAATGTACTCAAACGTACGTGACAACTAGGGAAGCACTATGGGTACATATAACCATGGCTTCTTAATGACTGGCTACTTCCATTATTGGTCACAAAGCTGGTGCCCTACTTATGTATCATATTCTCTGGTTTCTGAAGACAGAATCCTACAAGCTTGCAGGAGACTTCCGCAGTCAAGACTAGAACACCACTCGAATTTGGCCGGGTATTCTTCAATGCGAAAACTCTCTGCCATATCATATCTTACTCCCGAAACAAGATCCCAATAGCCGTTTCAACCAACACAATTTCTCGGGCCGGGGACGGTTAACAGTATTCTTTTCGCAGATTGTAGACTGGTCCCCATCTTCTCCATCAGGTGATTGTATCCACTCCCGCGGGATCTGCGTCATGAAGTCATACCAGTAGTCGCCGAAGTGACGGTAGCCCTCATTCGTGGGGTGGACGCCATCGCCTCTAAGCAAGCCTGTAGGAAAGCTCGTAAAATCAACGGCGAGAACATGTTTACCCGCAACCTGACGAGATGCTACGATGCCTGGTATATGGCCTTGATACGGGACGGTGTTCCGCTGCTGCCCCTCATCACGAGTGTTGATGATCATAGCCACTAGAACAACCGCACTTGGGCAGGCTTCGACGATTTGATCGATGAGTTTGCCTAAACGCTCGGCGGCGTTCTTTGGATCGTTTCCTTCGAGAGCGACGTCCAAGTTTGGGTTCATGTCATTAGTCCCTGCATGGATGAGGACGATATTGGGCTGTTGCTGCAGTGAGGGGTTGACATGATCTGATATGAATTGAATCGTTCGCGCATTCCAAGCGGCCTGTCAAGCTGATTAGGCGAATGGCCATTTCGTAGATTACACAATACTCACGAAGTAGTTATCAGGGATTGTTCCGCGAACTGTCTCGGTTCCGATGAAAGACACGCGATTATCTTCATCAGGTATTAGTCTGTGCTCTGACCATGGGCAGCAAATGAAACGTACTTGAAAGATTCTGTCGAAGCTTCATCCGGTATCCATTTCCATCACCTCCATCCAGGTCACTGAGAAATCCTACAGTGATGGAATCACCAACACCAAGGATACGAAGGGTGGTTCCGGGCTTAATGGCCTGACCAGGCTTGGTGCCTTTGAACTTGAGCGGATTTCGTGCCTCCATGACGGGTTGCCGTTGTCTGAATTGGGGCTTGGATCACCAAATGAAATTGATACCGACTTGATAGTCTGGAAACCCGGTTGCCAGCTCTCGGGCCAGATCTTTCTAAGAACAGCCTTAGTGGTACCGAACCTTGTCGTCGCTAAGCGTCTCGTGCCGTTGGCGATTGTCAAGCGACCAAATACATTGGTATCTGTGGGATATAGCAGGAAACAGAGACTTGTTCACCTCAGTTTGGCGTTTTGTTTGACGAATCTAAGGAGTGGTGTTGAATGAAACGGGAAAAATGGGACATTTGCATCTGCTGATCGTCGTCTGAACCGCACGGTGTTGTAGCGTTCAGACCTGTTACGTGTCTGTCTGAGACGTTATCCCCCACATTTGAAGCCCAATCAACGTTAGACGTCATGAATCGAGCACGGGCTTCGTCTCGTTACATGGCGAGTCAAGCAGGGCAGTCTTCTGAGATCGAGGGGAAGAACCGTCTTGCGGGCTTTGCTAATTGTTCTCACGCAGCTTTAGTTGATAGTCCAGTTCTATTGGAGATCTGGATTTGTCAGGGTATGCTTCAACAATAGACTACAACGTTGCTGTCTGCAGTTGAACCTTCATCCTGCCAGGCCTGCAGAGCACATGGGATGAACAGCGCTCTTGAAATCAACCTTTTGAAAGACGGAACCAATGACAAAATTTCCAAAGTCTATTGATAACGTTCAAGAAGCAGACGAATGGCACATGGCGGCACCAGCAATGGATCCCAACGTTCTCCCCTTATCGGCGCCTGCGGGGTGATCGGCTGGCTATCTAACAGAACCCCGCAGCTGTGCACCCCGAACCCACAGGCATCCCGGGGCTCAGTTTTCCTTTGCTTAACACTGCCAATTTGGGTTTAGTGCGTGGGAAGCTTGCATGCAGTGTTTCCGGCTGTGTTAGCAAAACATTCGAGAGAACACCACACTTCGTTATCTGAATGCGTTATCTGAGTCGCGATAACGAGATGTCCTCATGCGATTGAAACGTCATTCAAAAGGAGACCAGAGGGCTCCTCCCATTCGATCTCCCCTGCGCCAAGCATCTTCACGTCCCGCGAAACTGTGTCCACTATGAACGGGGCAGTCGATGGCCAAAATGGCCACCTTCAGAAGCGATTTTCCAAGATCACGATGGTCGGGATGGCGTTTGCGATCCTGAAGTAGGTCTTGAAGACTGCAATGCTGAATGAATTGCCCGCTAACAAGCCAAGCACATGGATTTCTCTAGCTGGGTCGATTGGCCTCGTTATGCCCTCCGGAGGATCAGTATCCTTCGTCTATGGGTTCATATTCTGCGTTCTTTGCAACATTGCTTTGAGCGCTAGCGTTGGAGAACTTGCGTCACTCTACCCAACAGCAGGAGGCCAGTATCATTACGCTTATGCGTTGTCCACTCAAAAATGGAAAAAGTCAATGGTGTGTGCCAAAATCCGGACTTCGTGCTGGGATCTGATCTCAAGTACTGACGAACCTTAGAGCTTCTTTGTTGGATGGGTCAATATCGCTGGCTGGCTTACTCTCAACACGACAGCTGCTTATTTTGGAGGTGAATCTACATTTTTAGTTATCATTATGGAACATTGACGGCTTACATGTTGTAGCTCGATTTCTTGCTGCTGCGGCTGTTGTAGGTTCAGGCGGCACATATCAGATCACCCAATGGAGTACTTACTTGATGTTTGTGGCGGTATCAATCATTGGGGTATTTCTCAACATCTTCGGCTACCCCATACTGAATCGATGGAACGAAGGAGCTTGTAAGTCTTCTTATCTTGTAGGAAAGCTACTGGCTAACCTTTCAGTGTACTGGTCGTTGCTCAGTGTTGTGGTGATTAGCATTGTGCTTCTAGCGACATCGCCGAAGACAAGTGCCGAGTACGTTTTTACCAACTTCTCCAACACGACCGGCTGGAGTGATGGAACTGCCTGGATGTTGGGTCTTCTTCAATCCGCCCTTAGTCTCATAGGGTATGTCTTCTCTTATGAGCGTATTTCACCACGATGATTTGCTGATTTTATATCTAGATTCGACGCAGTAGCCCATATGACAGAAGAAATGCCGAATCCATCCAAGGATGCACCTCAGGCAATGGTTGGCGCAGTGCTAGTTGGTGGAACCACGTGAGTATCTTGAACGATGCCAATCTTGAGATCTCTAACACCTCCTTTAGTGGTATTGCCTTCATACTTGTCATGCTTTTCTGCGCAGTTGACATTGATGTTCTTCTCGCATCGCCCACTCAGAGCCCTCTCACGGAGATGATCTCACAGGCCACTGGCAACAAGGCCGCCGCGACAACTCTGAGCGTCGCTGTCGCCCTATGCTTCGTCAATGGAGCCAATGGCTGCGTTACATCTGGAAGTCGTCTGGTTTGGGCCATGGCTCGGGATAACGGCACCCCGTTTTCAAGATAGTAAGCTCTTCCAACTGCAGCTAGCTCAACACGGTCGATCTACCCTGTACTGATTGTGTTTAGCTTATCATATCTTCATCCAAGGCTCAACGTCCCCGTCCGAGCCATTCTTGTCCAGGCTGTCTTTAACCTTTTGTTTGGCCTACTCTACCTTGGTACGCTACTCATTTGCCCTTGGCATCAAAGTAAGCTGTATTGACGAATTTTCACGCAGGCCCGGAGGTCGCCTTCAATGCCTACATCGCAAGCTGCACCTTGTTTCTCAACTTGTCGTACGCTTTGCCGGTCATGATCCTTCTCATCAGGGGCCGCCATGTTGTCGCAGCGAACCCTCCAGAGTTCTACCTCGGTAAAGGGCTATTTGGCTATGTTACCAACTGGGTTTCAGTCCTCTTCGTGCTTGTCACTTCTGTTGTAAGAACAACCCTAAGATAGGGAAACAGTCCATGATATCTGGGAACCATTCTTACATAGCTGTGTAGTTCTTTTGCTTCCCGCCAGCAATTCCCATCGACATCTCTACGATGAGTAAGTACTTTGAGGCCTTATTAGAGTATTGATCTGACAATTCTCAGACTACGTTACTGCTGTCATTGGAGTTTTCATTGTTTTTGCTGTGGGGTTGTGGTTTGTGAAGAAGAAGGCCTACAATGGTCCCAAATTTGATCTCATTCTCGGGGAGGACTTGCCAATCGCCAATTTGACTGTACATGGGGACAAAGTCTCGAAAGGAGCCGAGTTGGATGCTCAAGACAGGGAATGAGTATTGAAATCGTGTATAGTACTCAAACACCAGAACAGTAATTGGCAAGGGGCATCCTGGTTCATTTCAAAACCACTGCAAATTACCTTTGCCTTCGTCATGCGATGAATGTTGCGTACTTTTGCGCCATTCTCCGACCAATGTTTTCACTGGTTAAAACTATACCCTCAATGTTTTGATATGTTCTGATGGGAGCGTTGAATTACTTGAAGCTGTACGATATTTTAGCTCATTCAATCTCCACTCTGAGAGGTACTTTCCCCATAGGTTGGATATAAGGGTCCCCGAAGCAAGCCAACAAGACTCGATTGAATCAAGGTCGAGAATTCCAGAGGAAGTACATTATATCGAAATGTTAATTACAACTTTGACCCCTTGTTGTATCCGTAATGCCAGTTGTCCTTCTTCAGGTCCTTCCTAATCTGATAGTTTTGCTCCGCAATCTCGACAACCCGCATGTCCACGTCGATAACACGCATGTTCTCCTCGCCATCAGTAAAACTGCCTGGTACAGTGCCCACAATGGGCAGCGCCACTTGACTACATCCAAAGAAACCGTCCTCTCTTGGTCCAGTCGCGTTGCAGTATATAATTGCCGCGGTGTTTTCAAACGCCCTGGTAGTAAGAGTGGACTGCACAAACATTCTTTCGCAAGTCTCGTTGTAGGCGAGTCCTTCCCTACTCATGTCTGACAAAGTCCAATACGAAGGAATAATGATAATCTTTGCCCCTGCAAGAACAAGCTGCCGAAAGGCCTCCGGAAAGGCCAAGTCCCAACAGACCAGAATACCGACGGGTCCTAGAGGGGTATCGAAGACTTGGTGGGGGCTGGCTGTGCCCATTTCCGTGTGACCCTTAACTTGGTGAGCGTAGTCAACACTTGAAGTGAGATGTTGACGCTCAGGAATCCAGAGGTTGGTTTTGGTGTATGCTCCAAGAATTTGACCGTCGTAGTCAATGAAATAAGAAGTGTTCAGAAGAGTCCGCTTCGTCTTTGCACCGTCTGTGAGTGGCGGTTGTGGTGTTGATGCATCTGAAACTATAGTACCGGCGCAGATGTTAATGTGCAGCTCAGCGGCTAAATCTTGGTATCTTCGGAGGAAGCGTTGAGCATCGTCTGCGCTCAAGGCGAAAGAGGGGTCATCGGGGACCCATCCCATGAGGTGGTACTCGGGAAGCACAGCTAGCGATGCTCCTTGAGCCGATGCACGGCGGATCTGGTTGGAAGCATGACTGAAGTTGTGTTCAGCGTCAAGAACCTGGCCTAATGTTAGTTCTTGGAACGTGAGATTGGGGGCCCTTCGTACCTTCGGTGATGTTTGTACCAGCGCGACTTTGAATGCCCGCGGTTCTGACGGGGACGACATGGCGATGAGATGCGGAGGTGAAAGTGATGCTGCAAAACGGCTGATTCTCTTGCAACATTGTTGCGGACTTAACATTGTAAGAGTCTTATCAACGCCCCCGGGCTGACAGCGCGATGGGATTCACAGCTCTGCGGATCGATCCCACTCATGGTAATGATATCCTTCGCCTATGAGATCCCTTTTTGGCCTAGTATCACTGCAGTGGAACCCTTCCCCTCTGTTGGTTCATGCAACCCTCCTTGGAACTCCACAGCCGATAAGTGCCGCCCCGATGAGCCCCCGCACGGCAGCTCGAGTCATTCTGGAACCTCAACAGCAGCGCCCGAGGCGTGGCCTCTGAAGTCTGAACCTCTCACTAGGAATTGGAATGTCACAAAGCCACACGAAAGCACTTGAGTGAGGCTCATGAGCGCACGGTCTGACCTACATGCTAACATGCAAGCGTCTCCGCGCAAAATTATCACACGATCTCGCAACGGATGTGCTGTTTGCAAATCTAAACGGGTAAGAAATAGCATTGCGCGTTATCTCTGTTCTACTGAGCCATGCTGACAAGCAAAAGCTGAAATGCGACGAGGCAAAACCTCACTGCTCGCGTTGCAAAAGGCTCGGTATTGCATGTCCGGGCTACCGAAAACCCCTGAAATGGAGCTCGACCTCAATAGCACTGGGCGGTGACTCCCCTTCGCCCGAAATAACGAGATCACCTACTGTATGGGAAAGCATGGGTAGTGTTTCTGCACATCCTCCTGATCAGTCCCCAAAAGACCTTTGCGACCTGGACTTCTTCAACTCGTTCGCCGAAGTCGACACCCCTGGGAGCCTAGATGTACAAGACATAGGCGGTATACAACATCTGTTTTCGGCATCAGACATTGCAAGCGAGAAGACATATCCCACACCTAGTTCACGAGTTGAAACCTCACAGCTTCAAGCTGTAGGTAATGGCCACGATGGAAACATATGGCCCGTGATACCCCCACACAACCCAAGTGATAGCTCAAAAGAGCTTGAACCGTTTCCGAGCGACCTATCGAGCCCCAAATACCCACTATCGCATTCTCTACAAGACGATTCATCTACATTAGTCGAATATTACTTCAAAGAAGTATGTGGCATGATGTCTTGCTACGACAGCGACATGAATCCGTACAGAACAACAATATCCAAGCTCTGGACACACTCACCCTCTCTTTATTATGTCACCCAAAGCATGGCAGCAGCATGCCTGTCTGAAGTCTCTCCCAGGTTCTCGGCAGCTAGTGGTCGCCTTGGTAATCAAGCCGTCACATCTCTGTGGAACGAGAGCAAATCCCACCCAACGAACACATCCTCTCTCCTGGCTCTAGTTATGCTTGGCTTCAGTCTTTGCTGGCACGACACTCGAAAGCTTGGCCAGGACGAATTCAAAATGGTTGCCGAGGCGATTGTATCCCTCGAGAACAATGACGATGACCTGGCGCTTGCCGATCGACAAAAGAAGTTTTTCTTTTACAACTCTCTGGTGTATTGGAAGATGCTGCTATCCTTCGTCACCGACCAAGAGCTGCCGTCGCTTGGCTCTACCCGAGCAATCCTTCCACAACCAAGCCGACTGCCAGAGCAAGACAATTTGCGAATGCCGCATCCACAGACCGGACTAGGAGTAGAAATCCAAGAGCTTGTCGCCCAGGTTGGTGCTCTGGTCAGAAGAGAGCGGAAGAGAATCGGACGTCGCCGTCATTCTTCGAGACGTGACATCGAAGAGTCTCTCAGCGCTATACAAGCTTCCGAAGATCTGCACTCAAAGCTTTGTCGCATTGAACTACCATCGGATTCTGCTGTCATAGACTCTAGGGATGATAGGACCCCGGCAAACCATCTATTGAAAGCTGCTGAAGCCTATCGCTGCACGGGCTTGCTGCAACTATATCAAAATTTTCCCGATTTATTTCTCCGTGATATAGAATCGGCGAACTGTGCAGATCAGTCCTCTTGGTTGAACACGACTTACGGTGGTGTTGCAGCGCATGGCAGCTCCAGAGTCTTGCTAGATACATGGCTGACCAGCCTTGCGCTTCATGTGCTCGACCTTGTGCATGAAATACCAATGTCTTCACGGTCTCGATCCATTCAGCCTTTACTCCTTGTCAGTATCTGCAGCGAGTTTTCGCTTAACCGCGGGTTCGTGCCCATCGGCGAACTTCAGGGCAGCCCCGGATTCAACACCATATCGAGCCTACGAATGGAGGTGCCGCCGACGACAACCGACATTCTCCATGGCAGGCGACTTATTCTATCTCGTCTCTCATTTTTTGAGGGTGTTTTAGCTGCCAAGCCAATCCGTCAGATGCTGACTTTGATCAAGGAGACTTGGATATCGATGGATAAAGAACAAGAAGATGTCTACTGGATGGATGTCATGATTGAGAATGGATATGAGACGCTGATGGGTTGACGTAAGGATATTCGGCTTGGCCATAACAGCTTCCTGGGCCGTTTTTGAGCAGCTAGTCACACCCACATGCATGGCTGAAGCCTCTGCCCGGGGAAGTGAAGGACTATCATCATATGGGTGTATGGATGGCCTGACATCATCAGGAATAACCAGCCCCTCGATGCTTTCAGGCATGTCTTAAATGGCTTTGAAAAGTGAGGATGCGAAGTGGGTAACAGCCCCTGCATTCAAGATCGACAATAAGCTGTAAGATTTTAGAGGTATTTCACGGGAAGCTGAGAGCGCATGCTATAATCAAGACAAAGTCTCAAACTTGTCTCCGTTGCATGGAATCATTATATTAGGAGATTGGAATAGTGTATATGTTGCCACCCAAGTGGAGAGCGAATCCTTCCTAGAAGCTCGTCTGACTCAGCTCGGAAATGGTCTATTGTCGTAGTGCGGTCCGCTCATGCCGGGTACTCAGATTTCCTCTTCGCGGTACTGATCGCCAAAGACCCGATTTTCATCGCCCCGAAGTCTCAGCTATCGGCAAAACATAGATCAGTATGACTCCGTGAACCGTGTATGCCTAATGCTTTGGTACCAAACCTCCTACTGATTGTCATGGATCATCCAGAGTTGACACTTTCACATGGACATGCACGCACCTGGATTCCTGTTTCTCCTTCAATTCCGGACTGACCAAGACAAGATTGTAAGAGCCATCACATACATAGCCTTGGTAATCGGTCCGTCCATCCGTCATGAACCTCTGTCTTAGATGACTTTGAACAACAATTTGCAGGATTAGGAAGGCACACTACACTAAGATGAATGGTACAAGGTGTTGTTTGAACTCATAAGTAGTATAAAAGGAGCCGAAAGTTTTGTTGTGTTGACTCTCCAGCAAGAACTTAAGAAGCACCTCGTCCAGTTCATTGCCACTCTACTTTGAACTCCCATATAACAATTCTCTCTACGTACACAACGTCGCTTCACCCCAAAATGCACTTCGCCACTTTGACCAAGACCGTTCTGGCCGGCATTGCTCTTCACGCAGGCACAGCGGATGCCATCTTTGAGTGCAATGCGGATCAGCATGCTTTTGAACCCACGAAGAACAAGTTCGTGGTACACTACACCTCTATTCGCGACTCGAACTACGATGACGGTCAACCTTGGGTGAGTGATGCTTGAGATGACACCCTTCAAATAAGCCAGTCCGTCTTTTTGGCCGCTTTTCAGCTAACATGACAGTAGGTTCGCATTTGCAAGCCCAAGGGTGATCTCAGCGGCTGGAACAACGTCGATCCCTTGAAGACACCTTGTAAAGACGATCCAGCAACTCACTTGTCTACCGATCAGACCGGTCTCAAGAACGAGCTGATCGTGACGAACGGCGAAGGATGCGACAGTGGCAGTGGTCATGGTCTTAATGGCGCATCAATGGTTTACAATGATCAAGTGGCCGTTCTGGAGGGCTCTAACGGTCGATGCGGACCTCGAGATCATGGAGTTACTTGCGAGTTCAATCTCTAGTAAATTGTCAGACCAGCCCAGAGCCCCCAGCCATGGCTGTGCGAAGCAAGAAAGAAGCATCAAGAAACACGCAGATAAGATTGTTTTGTAACCTTATTTCGATCGCATCATCGGAAATACATCTAAAATGACTTGAGCATTTACCCATAGGAATCACAATTGTGACTTGGCCATGGGCTTGGTGGAGTCTTAGAAACCATTATCAAGTGCGATCAGCCAGCATGCACATAAACCTTTCGAACGAGCCTCGTGAAGAATTTACTTTGTCGTCAATATTTCGTGGTTGCCGTTGGGCCGAAAACTATATTTAAACGCTGCCGTCTCTGCAGAAGGTGGTGCGAGAGAATTGGGTCTTGCAGCAAGTGGTGTAGCTCTCCTGCGTGGAAGGCTCGCACTCATAACCGTCTGGCAATTGTTAATGACCATGCAGCACATTTGACGAGATTTATTACTTACTCCACTTTCCGTCGCAGCAGGTGATTGAATCAACGTTGCTGCCGTCGCAAGAGCACAGCAGGGCCTGGGAGGCTCCGATGAAGGGGCTGTGGATCAGATGTCAGAGTCCATTTTTTCCCCCATGATGAAGGAAACTTACAGGACAAGAACAAGACCTTGGACAACTGCATTTTGCTTGTCATAGATGATGGTTGTGAGTTAAGAGGATGGCAACATTGATTTCACAAATCGCGACAACTTGCTCTCATATACAACTCATATTGCGTGTCCGTGTTGTCCGAGGGTTTCGTTCCCCGGATCAAGCAGGTTGCTTTTCTGGAACTTAGAGTTAAGGGTGCGGAACCTGATAAAGTGCAGTCCTTCTTCTTTGGGAAGCAATCCCGCGACGATTAGATTGGGCGGCCCCGCCACGGAACGGGAACAGGGACGCAAATGGTCAAGATCGCTCCAGTCGCTTGGTAGCTTTCGGGATTCATCAGCCGACCACGCAGGAGCTCCAGCCAAGAATTCCTGCAATCTGCCCCTTGAGTTCGGCCTCGGGGCAACTTGAAGGGGGCAGGACACACCCATGATCAAAAAGGGGAGGAGTTGTGGCTGAATTCATGTTTTGATGGTCAGTGCAACTCTGCCAAATGGAACACACTGCAGTCCGGAACAATCCGGCTCGAGTCACGCGTCGTTATGAAAGGCTTTCTGCATCGGCCTACGAAAGATTCCCCAAGAAGTTGTGAATCTTGATTTCAAGCTGCTAATGACACCTTCCTACACGAGAAAACAGGAAACGGTCTGAAAATACATGTGGTGTGTTACAAATCTGCACCCTACCCAGCAGTGAAATCGGCCCTACCCAAAAAGCTGCAAGGGGAAAAGAGTAGAGTATTGACGAAGAAGAAAGTTGTGTAAAAAGACTAATAGGCGAACAGCCCTCAGGGGTACCAATAACATATCTATCTGTCGAGAACCAGTTGTGTAATGTGAAAGCCGGCAAGCGTCGATGAAGTAAAAACTCCGGTATTACACGGGCGTCTTCAGCCAGACCTTGGAAGAGCAACCGAGCCACCGTCAAACGTCACTGCTGAAGCTTTCCCTGTATTGGCTATATCGAACACAAATCGGACGTCCACACTGGGCCCCAGAGAGCCAACGTCTTGCCAGGTGATGCAAGTGGGTGTGCCCATGTCGACGGGCGCGCTCTTGTCTTGGAATACGGCGACAAACTGGTGCTGAGTCTCAGTCATCACGTTGCTAGGGTAAAGACGAAAATCAAAATTCTCAAGTTTGATGCCAGCGAAGGCCGCAATCTCATTCCGGAGATCAACTTCACCCCTCTTTAGCGATGTCACAATGAGCCCAGGACCATCGCTCGATACGTTGAAGCTTGCTGACCCTGCAGGCCCATCGAAGGATCCAACGTATCTTGCTTTCGCCTCTGCAGCTGCGAGTTTCTGCAACTGCACAATTGCAAGAGAGACAATGTCAGCGTAGACATTCAAGTCAGGTCCTCGGGCAGCTTCGCTATCATGAGCAAGAATAGCGAAGCCTGCGTTGAAGTCTGGGGCCAGACCAAAGTAGCTTGCGTAGTGGCCAATCAGACCTGTCTTAGTGTAGACATCGAGGATGGAGCTGTTCGCATACTGGCCCGCGTGGTAGATCTCCCATGGGCGACCAACACCATTTCGCAAGTTTGATGTATCGGCAATGGGTTGGAGCCAACGACGGGTTGCGGCTTTGGGGATGAGGCGTGAACTAAGCATGGAATGGCCAGCACGTGCAAGGTCTGAGGCGGTAGAAATAGCCGATAGCGCGCTGTGGTTTGTTAATCAGTGGACCGAAGATTGTGGGATGCGAGGATGCACTTACCCAGGTTCTCCGATAGCCGACGTATTGAGGCCATCTGCGAAGACTTTCTTATTTTGGGCCAGAAATCCGGTATTGGTCATGTTAAGCGGTTCAAAGATCGCCGTGTCGAGGATTTGATCGAAAGGCGAAGTTCGGTTGCCGGCTTTATAGGCTTCAAGTGCAAAAGCAAGGAGCTGGAAAGCAGCGTTCGAAACCGCCGGAGTTGTATCAGGTAGGAACAGCGGTGACTGTGTAGCGAACTTCTCAACGAAGTCGTTGCGGGTGCAGGACCCATCCAGCCTGCAAGCGAAAGCTGTCGAGAGTTAGCTGAGATCTGCATGACTTTGCTTTAATCCAGATAACCTACAATCCCTTGCAAGGCCGGACATCTGGCCAGCCAATGCCCCGATGGTGATCTCATCCCACTTGACTGCCAATTCAGTGGACGCATTGCGTAGTTCTGGGATAAACTGAGTAATCGGTGTCCCCCAATGCCCATCGCCAGCTTCCACGAGCCACGCATAGACTGTGAAGAGTTGACTTAGTGTGCCGAGTGGGAAGATAGTGTCGGAGTCTAGGCTCGAATCCTTGGGGGCTTCGGATGCCGTGTGATGATATTCGAAAAAGACGGGATTCTCCTCAGACTCGTGGGAGCCTGAGAACAAGACAACCGAGAAAGAAGTAGTATTCGGAGTAATGGCGCCAAAGTCATCCGATCCTCCTTTCTGAATGAGTTGATCGAATAGCTTGGTGAATTGATCCGTGAACGACCTCACCTCCTCAGAGTTCTGATCAATGCTTGGGGCAGGGTAGTAGGCTCGAAGTAGTGGGCATGGTTGATACGTCGGAGTGTCTGCTAGACTGGCCCCTGTTATGGACAGTACAAGAGTCGCTAAGACGGTCAAGGAGGTCGAAGAGGGCATTTCGATTTCGTTTGGTGGGAACAGTTGTGAGTTGAGTGGCATGGGACACGACCTACGTATCGGAGAAGTGCCTGTCTCTTATACAATTACCATCCTTTATTTTGACACTCAAGATATTCAAAAATTCAGACCGATGCCGTGTACGGACACGGGGACCGATCTTTGGTGTCGGCCTTAACGGAGCCACGCATCATTGACTGAAAGCCAAACACACAATAGCAATACAGGCCCAAGGAGGCAAGTAACCTTGAGGGTCAATAATTTAGAGTACTTCCGTGTTGGATTCAAAGGATCTAGCATCGATATCTGAGACCTTGACTTGCGAGCCGAAATTCCGTATCCGTGTCCGTGTCCGGGTCCGCCAGCCCGCTTGAAGGATGCTCACTAAAACTGAGCATCACCCCCATGATCACTCCCTATTGCGTAGTTCCAGCTCTTGAACGGTATGAAAGTGTCGTTTACGAATGAAAGAGAATCTACAGGGAATTCGGCGTTTGAGGTCATCGCAGCATTTTCGGGCAGTATGAAATCTGTGTATGCCATAGTGTTGCTTGCTGAAGCTATCGCTGGTTGCGAGAAGACTGACGGCGCGACGGAATAATCAAACGCAACTGGTTGACTCGATAAGTTGGAGGTCGGTGTACCAAGGCTCGAAAGAGACCTTGTCGTGGGGACGTTGAGTCCTTGAGGCGAGACACCATGCTGACTTGTGAGAAGTTTTTGCTGATCCAGATACCATGTTTCAACACGCTTTGTGCGTATGAGAAAATGATAAAAGGAATCTCTATCGCCTCTGTCGTCCACTTCTGGCGATGTTGCAGACTCAAGTCTAAGAACAACCTGGCGAATGGTGTGGCCGATGTCGGAGAACTGCCGAAGATGTTCTGTCATAAAGCTTATCCTAGGGTCCGCGGCTTGAAGGTCTAGGCGAGCTGCCAGAGTATTTCCGCAATGGAGCATGACCCAGACAATATTGGGGAAGTACACCTCTTGGCCTGGAGGGGTATGCAGGAGGATGCTGACGAGGGACTTTGCGGAGACAATGCTCTCCGATAATCCCTGAATTAGTCGCTGCGAGGAGGGATTCTGCGGCTTGTGAAGAGCGAAAGGCGCATCGGGAATCGAGAGCTGGTTGAGGCACAACTGGATCGTATGCATCTGGGGCACCAAAATTGCTGCGCAAGTTCGTTAGCGATGGGTTCTTAGGACAATCGTCGGAATGACATTACTTACGACAGTCTCCTAGGGGGAACGACAAGTTGTTCTTGAAAAGGTCTATCCTTTCTCTAGCATCTGAAACAGCCGCTTGTATTTGCATTGGATCTAGTGTTGACTCGTTTTTCACGATGTCATCGATGTCTTCAGCGACTCGCTGAAGACGAATGATGTAAGGCAGGTACTGGTCCGTTGGGTATTCAGATACTTCGGCGAGCCGATCAGCAGTCTCCGTCGTATAGGTTGTAAGGGTAACAATGCGGAGCTTTTGAAGAACAATGCTCGAACTTTGGATGAGGAAGGTTAGCGCTGAGTCTGGTAGTAATGAATTTGGTAACCAACCACGATGAGAGATAATATGTTCCGAGGAAGGCCCTCTGCTCATCAAGAGACTCAATGTAATGCTGGGCCGTTCCCGTCCGCTCTGACCGTTCAACATTCCATCGTTGCACGTTTTTTGGCCTATCCAGACGGAGATCCGAAACTATGCTGACAGCCAGATGTAGATGTTGAGTGTAGCGCTTGGGTCGCGGTTGAAAATGAGCCCTTCCGAGAGTATTAGTTTCTATATCGGATCACGATATTGAAGCGCGAGGACGAGGCACTGCCTTACCAGGCAAGATGAACGAGGAGACCTTGGAGTATGTGCAGAGAGGTAAAGTCGCCTTCAATTAGACGAGCGGCAATTAGTTCATTAAACATCTGGCCTAGAGCCCGCTGAAGACGAACGTCATCGTAGGATGCTGCGGCCATCAGCGCCAGACATAAGGCTGGTTTGGTCTGCTTCAAGGTGTTCACATTCTCGTCGGCGGGAATTATGACAAACGGAAAGTGAGGAGTAAGCTTTGTGCGGAATCGGTCGAGGAGCTCTTGGCCCCTCTCCACCGTGAGCTGGCCGGCATCGAACGGGTCATGTCCCTCAAGCCTTGGTCTTGGAAGACCGGAACTGGCAGTGGCTGGAGGAGGGCTCCGGCTGTGGTTAGATGAAGATGCGGCAGGACTTTCCGCGGGCGGCGGAGGGGCCGATTGATCGGGGACATGAAGTAGCTTGTTCGACCTTCTTTTGGTTCAGTCTCGGAGCCGGAATACGGAAAACCGGGGACAGCTACCTTGAACGGGATCCCGGAGGTTTACGGCCACGGGCCGGCGCATACGAGCACTCTTTGCCGAGCCGGAGGCATCTATCGCAGATGACCGAGTCCTGCGTTCGGTCGCACTTGATTTTGGCGTGAGCACATGTGCGACACGTCTTCAAAAGCGGGGTCGGGCTGCGCTGACGGGGCTCCATGGTGCTGGGCGCAGCAATGCGTGATAGCCGATGTACAGTCGTAACAAGGCATGGAATCGGCGAATGGGCGGTGGCTCGTCAAGCGTCAGAGTGTTTGAGGCGGCGCATCCGTACCTTACCTACGGACACGGAATGAAAGAACCAAAGTGCTCTGGGACGGACAGACACGGAGGGAAGGGAGGTTAAACGCAGGACACAGGCAGGAAAATTAACCTGCTCTCGGCGAGATTACGAACGGGTAAACGGGCGCGGGCAACGGGACGCGCCCGTGAACGCCGCCGACGCAGTATTAATGCTTGATCCAATGCCCGAGGACTTCAGTGGCTTAGACATTGGAACTAATGCCAAAGGAGGCAGACTAACGTGTCGCTAAATGAGTTCGATCCACCATTTCAGGGCTGATCACCTCCTGTGGTCAGACGGCCTGGAGCTGAAGACCCCTGGAATTCGGACTCTCGTGTTGCATCAAGCTTCCTTCGTTAACGGCGGGCGCTTTTCAACGCGCCCAATGCCGATACATAAGCTTCCATATCGGTACTCCAGATTTCCATGTTGCACTAGGCATCCAGATGCGTGATGGATATTGTTCTACGCACACAACCTGATGACGGGGACAGAAATTCATATAGGCGTCAGTGGGCTTTTTTTTCCCCCCAAGGGTCGTGGCAGCGTCAGCTTGTCGATTTTGAACCGAACAAGTACTTGACATTTCGCACCATACTGAAAAATGGTTTCAAAGAAGAATGGACAGATCGCATGTGCGAAAAGAGTTTTGAGGTTGCTGCCAAGAATGCATGGTCATAGTTTCTCACCAATTACCGACAGCTCTCAATGGTCGCTTCTCTTCTAACCTACTCTTCTGCTGTCACTGCAGTGAGCTGCTCAGGGAATAATGGCTTCTTACTATCTTCATTGAGCCCCTCAGATAGCCACGGAGACAGCAAGTTTCAAAGTGGAAGTATTCAATATGGCGTAATCGTTGCGGCTGAGGTCCAACACCACTGGGAACCCATGCAGCTGAGATCAAAAAAAACAGCCCAGTTCAGCATAGTGATAAAGCTGCTACCCCGCTTCAAATATCATAAAAGTTACCGTTTGCTCGCCGAATATTTGACCATTCTTGGTCTTCTGGCCAAATCGTCGACTGAAAACACGCAAGCAATCACAGAATATCACCCGATGGCATCAATCCCCTATACGGACCTCGACCCCGAGAAAAGGGAGATTAGGCTCTTGGAGGTCGTTTGCGAGCCTGCGAACACTCAGTTTTCGTACAGATTGCATAATGTATCTTTGGATGACAACCCGTACTTCATTGCCTTGTCCTACGTCTGGGGTGACCACCTCGTGACCGAAAACATCAATGTCGATGGCTTCAAGACACCAGTCACAGTCAATCTCGCGACCGCTCTGAGAAATGTCAAAAAGCACTGGCTAGACATCCAAAGTGGGCGAAACACTGGTCGCGATGCCGTCCAGTTCCGAATCTGGGCGGATGCGATTTGCATCAACCAGCAGAACCTACCGGAGAAGTCGGAACAGGTTCCGTTGATGAAAGATATCTATTCAAACGCAGATTTTGTGTTTGCATGGTTATCTTCTGAAGACGGAGAAATCTCGACAAGCTTAGAGATGCTGGAAACTGCATTCTACCTCGTCAAGATACTTGTCCACATCAACTTCGGACGGCAACTGGATATTACTGATGACGAATGGGCCGAAACCACTCACACCCTGAATCATTCTGTTAACTGGGCTGAAATGGTCCCTCTGGTTTTGACGCGATTCGGGTATTCTAGCAGAGAAGAGCGCGAAATCTTTCCAGCCTCCAGTTGCTGGACAGCTTTGAAAAAGCTGGCAGACTTGTCCTATTGGTCCCGTGTCTGGATATTGCAGGAGCTGATGTTGCCTAAGTCTCTCTACTTCGCCTGTCCATCGCGATCCCTCGACCATTTTAAAGCAATAATGGCTGTTACTGGTATCATGGAAGTCTTGGGGGCTATCCAGCGCGGTCAAACACGCGACGTGGGTGCTCTAGGCCGCTCCAGAGCGTCAATAATTCGTTCACAGCTGTTCCTCGTTCAATGGCGTCTGAATCTCAGACAAGCGTTTCACCTGCAAGGTTACGAAGATTCTTGCCTATATCATGTGCTCAGTTCCACCTTGTTTGGTACCATCAGAGCAACCGATCCTAGAGATTACGTCTATGGGGTGCTGGCAATCACAAAGCTCGATATTACACCAGATTACCGCGCCTCCATACGAAAAGTCTATTTGGACTACGCAAGAAAGTTAGTCAACCGCTGGAGCACTCTTTGGCAACCACCAGATCGAACAAACGGGCGTCTATTTTTCTTGTCGCTTTGCGCAGCAGGAGTACAAAGAAATGGGGATCTTCCCACTTGGGTCCCAGCGTTCAATGACCTACGCCCTCAGGGGTGGTTCATGAACGTAAGGACTTCGTCTAGTCTCGCGTTTCGGGACGTCGCTGAGCTGCGCCGGGCTTCTGAAGTCCGCATTTCCGATACCAGTCTGTGGGTGGCAGGTGTAAAAGCGCAGAAGATCACATACCAGTACCACAAGCCACTTGGGGCGGATTTCTGGACCAAAGACCTGCTGGACTGCTTCGAGACTTTGCTGGCTGGGCGAAAGTCGACATATATCACCGGAAAGCCGCTGGTGGACGTCATCTGCTGCACTCTGTTGCAGAGACTGTACAGTGAATATGATCTTCGACGGATTGCATCGCTCTTTCTCTACTTCTACAAATGGGTACCGTCTGGCAAGATTGGAGGGGAACTAAGGCAGGCCATGGAGGGGCTTGATGAAATGGAAATGAGAGACAATATGGAAGCGATGCTGGCTGAGTGGACTCCCATTATGAGCGAGAATACCGGTTGTCGATTGGTCGGGACTGACGACTACATTGGGATAGCTGGAGGCGATGTTCAAAATGACGATATTGTCTGTGTGTTGAAAGACTGCGACAGCCCAGTTATTCTGAGGCCCGAGGGAGACCACTTTCTTTTTGTAAGCTCGTGCTTCATGCTGGGACTCATGGAGGGTGAGGTATCTGAAATGCTACGCTCTCAGATGGCAGAAGTCGAGACCTTTGAGATTCGCTAGACACACATGATGCATAATACTGAGTTGAAGTAGGGAATTGTCTAGCCTGGTAATTGAAGATACCTTCAACTGTTCTCTTCTTGTATATTACTTCTAAAGAACATACGCATCTTTTGCCTTCAGCCGGCTGTTATTACATTTCGTCGTCCCAAAGTTGATATTCGATGAAGTAGTGTTCATGAATCCTCTTCGCGTAGTCAACTAGCACTGGGTAGCTTCGAATGACTTTTTGAGTATCCGGAGCCCTGAGAGGTGAAGTCAGCCAAAGAGGTTTGTAGGCCGATGACGATCAACAGCAAAGACCCTGATCACAAGAAAGAACTGTAGGAAGAACTTACGCGTTGCATACAAGACCGGAAGCAATGAAGCCAAAAACAGTTGCATCGGCCTCTGAAGGTTCTGAGCCGCCCAATATCCAGAATGGCGCGTTGGGGCCAGGCACTGTGAGACGTACCTCGGCCAACAAAGCATTGACATTATGCCAGATATCATGCCGAAAGCTGGCAATTTCGGCACTCGTAAATCTCCCAGTGCCTTGCCCGTACAGCGTTCGGGTTAGACCACGATAGGCCAGAAGCCCGATCAGAGGTTGAATTGGCCAAGGAACTGCACCCATTACTCCGGATTTCATCGTCTCGTAGTTGTCGTGCCACCGCTCCATACCCTTTCATGCCATGTTAGACATCTTACGGAAACGACATACAATATTGAATGTACTTACTTGATAAAAATACAGCTTCTCCTCAAACAACGCCCTTAGAGCCATGTCATGGGCTCTTGCAGTTGGCAGTAGTGACTCGTTTAGGTCTTCACAGATATTGTTGTCCACAAGATGCTGGATAATAAGAGAAGAGTCACCCAGTGCTAAAGGTTTATCTTGCCCGTTCGGAGTGAAATCCATGTACGGGACCTTGCCCCGAGGCGCTTGGGACATGGAGCCTTGGGCAAGACGATACTTGAGCCTCGCAAAGCGAAGCCTTGCTTCGAGTCTTGTGACAAAGGGCGACCAGACGTAAGAAGTCGAAACGGGAAATCCGCGATACAACACGAGGTCGGGCAGTTTCTTCTTAGATGCGTCCATTATTGACAATATGCGCACAACGTAGGTAGAGTCGAACAATACCACAATTCTCTGGCTGTTCCGAATAACAAACAAGAGATTTCTCAATCATTATATAGACTTCTAAGAACATACTGATGCACTTAAAACTATCGCTGTTTGATAAGTACCTGTTCCGTTGCAATGGAAACGCCCGGTCGCTGCCTAATTTAGTGGGCTCGTGGGTGACAGTGAGGTGACGGCCGGACTACGGACACAAGCCGCCCCGTCCTCCACAGAATCCCGCCCTGTTTAGGCATCCTCGGCGACCCGTGTTTACCCACAAAATGCCGATTTGGACACCGCGCGGCGCGGAGCACGGTAGCATCCGAGAAGAATTCCCGGCGTAAGAGTCATAGCAGCATCCTTTTATGTTGATCTGCTACCAGCTGACAAACGATTTAAATCGGTCAAGGAATCTATCAGGCCGGCTCTGTCAGAGAGTCCATGCACTTAGCTAGGCAGGATTTCTGCCTAGGTGCATACCGCCAACAAAGATTGCTGCCTGCTAACGTAGAGCCTGTCAGCAAAAGCGCACGCGATAAACATCTCAAGAAGATTTCTCAGACTTCTTGAGTATGCAGACTTCTTGAGTATGCCTTGGCTTTATTGACTGCGAAAGGAATAGCAAAATAATGTGGCATCTGACGATGTTGTGATTGAAGGGCTGTTTCCCTGGCTTCCGTCAGCCTCACATGGCCCACGGAGCACGCAATCACAACAAGACTATTCGCTATTCAGCTTACCAGCCGAGTTGCGTCGAAAGATATTAGAAGAGGCTTTTTAGGAACTGTACAATACACATTGATCTTCGGCTGCAGTCGACATCTCGAATGCCACGCCGCACCCTCAGCTCTCCACACGGAGGCGATGCCACACTCGTCGAAGAAGAGGGTAATCGGCCGGCTGTCAGGTCCAAGACTTGGGAATGGTACGGGTGCGTTTGTCACCGTAACAAGCCGCCACAACCGAGGCTAGAGCAGCAAACATGTCTCTATTTTGACAGATGTCTCTATGGAGAAGGTATTTGCGATGCGTGGCCCGGTGAAGCTCGCGGCAAGTGTTGTATTGGTGTGATGGGTATCATGCTATCATGCAAGCAGGCGTGAGTCACTATCCACACAACAGTTGACGTCTCAAATTTTGATGCGTTAATTAGTCACGTTGAGATGTTGAGCGTGATTTAATCAACCAACACGATCCACATTGCGAGTGAGCCCCTAGTTCAGGCTCTGCTGCAAAGAGGTTTGCGCGATTCTCCACAGGTTATGGGGCCGGGTATTGGTCTCGCAACTTCTCTGGGAATCAAATGGAGATTTGACCTTTTCAGCGACAGTACAGACCATGTCTGTACTGAACACAGGCGAAGATTCACCCAATCCCTGGAGCTTCTTCCACAGGCTTTTCCCCGGCTGTCGCGACTCACCTTATTGTTCGAGGATCGCCTCTACTACATGCGTTTAAGGCCATCAGAAAATATGGCAGAGGTGGAATCCATACTACCCAAGGCTCTCTTGTCAGCTGCGACAAAACTCAAGCTTCAGAGCTTCGACGTCGAAGTTCCGCATTCCTTTTTCGATGAGCTTCGGCTTGTCGGGAACATAGAGTGTGGTGATATTCCTGAGGGTGGTAAATGGAACTACTGGGATGAGTGGATTCATTACCCTTTCATAAGAGAGGGAGAAGATGAAAGAAACCATCGGATCAAACGCGGCGAAATGAGCAACATCGACTGATATGCAGACGGTAGATCTTTCTTGTTTTCTAGTTTACTCCATGGATTCTAGAAGACTTTGATCTGCTGTGCCTACCGGGGAATACTATTTGTGACTTAAAGTATCTATGATTCTGAAGAAGAAACCGGATGCCTAATTCATTGATACACTAGCTGTGTTGATATGGAAAGCAAATCAATTTCCATACGCAACTTCATGAAACCAGATGAGAAACCCGAGCGTGTCAATAAAACCCACCATTCCGAACACCCTTTCCCCTTTCCACCCTCAAAAGAAGAATGATAACCACACTATTGCCCATTTCCAGCTGCATCCACTAATTGATAATGAACGCAATGATGCAGCCGATGATTCTTTCATGGATATCAACCCGTAGGTGGAGTCACTAGACTCGCGGGAGTCTTTGAGCTCTCTGTATGCGTTTCTATGAAAATTTGGTGAATCTTCAAAGCATTAGCCACTATTCAGTCGGTTGATTTTTGTGCTAAGATGCCATACGTGGAAAATATGATCGAGTCTTATTAATTATGTTGGTAAACATTTCGATGAGAAACGATATTCGTGATTACTGAGAATAGAGTATCTCAAATGCAGGAGATTGAACACTGGCGATTTTCCGTTCGTGGTGGGATTTGAGGACTTGTTCAACCCGACACACTGAATTTAAATAGCAGGCACTTTCAGATGTTGATTGATATATTTTAAAGTAAGGATGAGATGTACAAATATCGTAGACATATGTGAGCCCGGTGACGAGAAGCGATCGGGTCGAAGCCGAGTCATAACTTCCGTGTAGACCAAACATTTGGGGCTGAGCCAAGCGAGTATGTGGGCTATGTATCTTAAAATAACACAGGTAATTAGGCTGGGTTTACTGGGTGAGTCGCGTAGTTCCCTGGGAGGTAATGTGCGTTCAACAAGAGCGGTGTCTCTTTGGGACTTCATGGCAAACCTGAGCACTGGGGCTGATAATCCTGTGGGATGACACAGAATCCTACGGAACGACTAGTCCTTACTCCAGGCAACGATCAATTCCGCGCAGAATCGGAGACCCGCCATACTGACATGCCGATGTTGTCAGCGAAGGATTGGGCTAGCGGGAGGTAAGTAAGCTAAGAGCGTGCCTCGCTTCGCCCCGCCCCTACAGAGTCTAGATCAGGCATATCCATGATGTGGGTTTTTGAGAAATCCCAATCGAATGGTTTTCTTTTTCCAGATCGGACCAGTTGAGGGCACGAAGGAGCATTGTCAGATGGGGCTACAGTCGGCACGAAGTCAAAATAAAGCACGGAACCGCTGAACCCAGGACTTCAGCCAAAAGTTTGTTAATCTTTGCAAGGATGCCTGCCTGCGACTTTGCGGAGTAATTCGCGCGAAGTCAAAGGTTCTATCAACTTCCTTCCCATGCCCCAGTCTTCATTCTCTAATGCCCATTTGTTCCAGATTTTACCCCTTCCAATACGTTTTACAAGCTCATTTCCAAATTATACATACGCCTCAAGCTCCAGGCGGAGGAGCCTTCTTTTCATCAATCCTCTTTCGCCAGTTCGTCCCCCAAAGCGCAACGGCCCAGACACATGCAGCTCCGAAAATCATGAATCCTGACGAGATAGTGCTGAACCATCCCACGCCAATGGTCTTGATCGCTGGAAGCACTACTGCCGATCCTGCGGCGCCAAACAGATATCTGACCATAAAGTTACCCGCGATCACTTCCGCACTCCTGCCTTGAATCACGTCCAAGCAGTATGTGTTTAGACTCGGGAAACAGAAGAGCTGTGCCACACCGCCGAGGAACATAAAGACGACGGGAACCGCAATGCCACCCACTCGCTCTTGGACCGACCATCCGTAAATCAGCATGCAGCCTGGCAACACAGCACCGATGAAGGGAATGCACGACCGCAGTCGATCCTCTGAAATTCGACGGCCATGTCTCTGTGCAATCCATCGCCGTACCGTGTAGTCAGCATAGCGTCCACCAACGAGGGTACCGGCCAAATAGCCACAACCTGGAGCCAGGTAAAATAGGCCTGACTGCGCCGGCGAGGTGAGGGCGAATCGCGGGTTGAGGACGTATCGAATTGGCGTCAGCATGCCGTACATATTCCATACAAGGGAACCGCTGGAAATGGCCACGAGAATGAGGTTTGGAAACTTGAAAAGTCGGATAACACGGATAGGGTTCGTCATCTCCCAGAGGACACCGATTTTCTTGGCCATAGGGAGCCCCTTCAGACTCTCTTTCTTGAGCTTTGCTAGAGTCTCTGGCATGAAAAAGGCAGCGCCAACCATACCGACGCCTGCGAGCGCCGTTTGAAGCCAGAAGATGGCGCGCCATGACGTGTAAGTCACGATGATACCTCCGAGGACGGGCCCGATGGTGGGGCCGATCAGGGTCCCGGACAGGAACCATCCCATAGCGGTGGCCCGCGTTGTGGGATGGTACATGTCACCTATAACAGCGGGCCCAGTGACGAGGAATGAAGTTCCCGCAAACGAGGTGAGCATACGGAACACGAAAAACGCAGCCACATTTGGACTCAGAGCTGTACCAATAGAGCAGGCCAAGAAGAGCGTAGACGTGACCGTGCAGGTCTGTGTTGTTGTTCAGTCACATTACAGAGAAGGAGGAGGCTATAGAAGTGGATGTTGGGAAGGGATGCGTCTCGAGGTGTTGCTTACCCATTTGCGCCCATAAACCTGACTAAGAGGTCCCCAGAAGCATGGGCTGATCGCCATGAAAACGAGGTACAACGCATTGCTCAGACTGATGATGCTTCCCGAGGTTCTGTACTCTGCGGCGACTTCGGGGAGAGCCGATAAGACGGCGGTACTGGAGATCGGGGAGAGAAGACCACACCACGAAATGACGGCGACGGTAATACGCTTGCGCCGTGTGGAGAAGCGGTTGTACGCTTCATAAGGCACCTCTGTGCGAGAAGAGATGGGAATATCCGTAAAACTTACGGCTCCCGAGGGGACTTTGGATAGGTCTGCGCGCTCAGGGTCCTCTACGAGACGATTAGACTACCGAAGTCACGACAAGAGGAGTCGCGGGTTTGCTTACCCGTGTTCGGATTTCTACGGTTCTCGGAAATAATATCTGCGTATTCCTCAACGTCATCGTTTCGTCGGTCGGAAGAGGTCCTCCTTGAGGAATCCTCAGGCTCTTGCACGCTTTTGTCGGAGTTCATCGTGGGCCATCAAATATCAAAAACAGTCTGTTTCTATGACTATGATGGGCTTTGAAGAAATTGCGTCAAAGATCAAACCTGAATGGAGCTGGCTGCCGCAGGGGACGGATACGGTGCCACTAATATGACACCGATATCCGTGACTAACCCATTGCCGTCAGGGGCCGATTCGGCAGAACCCGACTCTTGGCTCCGGACATCGGGCGAGTTGTGCTAGTTGGGCCTCTCGGAAGGATGCATAGCTGCGGGTGGAGGCATGGGATCCTCCGGCCCCGCAGAATTCGAGTCAGTTCCCGACGGCAAGACGGTGGCTGTCCGAGAAGTCCAAAAAGCTGTTTGTCGATGTTCGTCGAGGACGTTCTAGAACGATCAACAAATATGGATGTCCAATCATGCGTTCTAAGTCTGTCGCCGACGTTGAGTTCCAACCAGCGGTGTACATGTCACAAACGCAAACGAAACAAAATTGGCATAATTGTCGGATGGCCGATCAACAATGGCGTTTCGCTCCGAGGCCGGACCATTTCTGTAACCGAACTGGAACTTTTGCCCCATCAAGTTGGCAATTCGTTGCCGGAGAGGCAAGTGTTCTCAAGCCGTCGGAACCAGGGTGTCTTATCTGTCGGCTATCCGAAAACAGGTGGCCAAAGGGGCTGTCTTTCGCCAATAACTCAGCCGATTTAGATGGGCTTCTTCCTATTGCCGGCGTAGGCCCGGCTTCTCGAGGGCGCTTGAATAAGGGTCTGATCGAGCCGGTCAAAAGCGCCCTGAGCGATGCCCAACCTTGGAAGACGAATTTTCTTGAATCACTTGTCGGATGCTCCGTTGGGCTATTTCTGCGCTGAGGCGTTGAGACCTGAAGGCGCCTTACAACCCCCACCAAACGTGCCGGTCAACACTGACCCCTTTACAGGCGAGAACTGGGCATCGCAATCTCGCAATTTGAGTCTCTATTGCGATACCCGTCTGAAGCGATGCTGTGAACACATTCATTGGTTCGTTTAAACGAAAGTTGTCTAATAACGCAGGAGAGTTCGAGCGGTTCGAGCTGGAGAGGCCCGTGCTAGAGCCGAGCACTCCGAATCATACAGTTACCTCGGCCGAGTAGTTTGAAGGAGACCGGCCTACTCACGGCGCCGGCCGGTGTGGATTTAACGGCCGATCCGGTGGCTCGTCGTCGAAAATCGGTATCAATTTCAAGCTCGGGGGCGGGTCAGAACGGGATTGCGTGCTCGACAAGCGAGCCTGAGACCCATCTACAGGATCTTTCACAGCCGTATCATCGGCCCAGTAGACATGGAGCTCATACCGATCGGGCCCGCCTGGGCTCGCCGCCCTCGTGGTAGCGTTCCGGGGCGGCTCTTTGCACCATGGAAGGGGCTCTTGATCATTCTACTTACTTCACATGGTACTCAAAATCGAACGTTTAGAAAGTCAAAGCGGCGGCACAGCTTGATGAAGCTCCACATGCCGGGCGGGAATGGTCGCATGCTCAGTATTCAGCTGGTCAGCAATGGCCCCTAATCTTAGCCCAGCGAGACCAACGGTACCGATCATGCATGAGGACATCGGGTTTCCAAGCCTCATTGAAGCTCTTCAAGCTTCGAAGCATGCATTCTTGCCAAAGAAAAGTACGCCACCAACAAGGTTTTCCATTTCTTCAGCAATGTTACGCGGCTGAAGATGCAGGATTCGCCTTTTTTGGCAGACCGAGGCAATAGTGCCATCTCGACCTGCATATGGTGCCTGTCATCAGCTTCTTGGCAGAATCCCCACGTGCTCGATCGGCTGGCCAGAGGCTATTCTTGGAATCCAACTTTCTTCTGCCATATTTTGATGCTACTCATGGTTCGATCTCTTGCCATGTCGACACTCCTCCCTTCTGCATGCCGCGTTTGCTTATGTTTGCCTCTAATTGGCAACCTGCGATTCAGTTGTTCCAAGTGTTCGGACCCGTGCGACAACGCTTCATCTTGAATTCTGTCAACCACGTTGCGTCGAGGCTGATCCGTCTTTCCGGGGAAACACAACTCATTTATCGGCCGACGGCCACCCCCACTCGTCTGAGTCGGTCGACTACAGCATCCAAGACATCGTTGCAATGGCGGTCGACGCAGAGGAGCTGATTGTCGCCCCCTTCCAAGAAGTTGTGGATAGAGGCAAGGAGGCAATAGAGCATGCCGAAACAGCACAGAGCGACAATTCGGAGTTAGCTGCCCAAATGATGAAATCTGCCCAAATGGTTTTCAGGGAAGGCGAGCGAGCACTTAAGCGTGTGCAACCGCTTTGGGACAGTCAAGTTGATAAACACGGCGATTCTTTCAAGGATGCAGTTGGAGACAACGGTGAGTACTCAAGCCTGCTATCTTTGGCCAAGCTAACCTGGCGAAGATGAACTTGCGGGAAAACGCAGGTTGCTGGAGGAACTTCTGTATGATTTTGAAGACTTCATGGAAGCAGACACCTTCGATGCGTCAAAATTTGGTGAAATTCAGGCTGCCACAAGATCATTTGCGCTAGATGTCTTGGACTTCATCAAGAGGATGAAGATTGAGAACAAGACACCGACAACTCCGGTGCACGCCTTTCCACCGTTGCCACCTTTACCGCCTTTGCCCCCGAACATCCAAATTCAAAGACAGGTATCACAGCCTGTTCAGCCATCTCAATCCCGCAGCGGTACTTCGACCAATACCAGTTCTTCGCCATTTCCTGTTCCGGGAAGACAACAAAAGTCTCCAGGCGCGCACAAGAGTGGAATAAGGACTTCGCATGGCTCGTCCGACAGCACCACACTTCGCAGAACCCCTTCATCAGCAAAGTCCGTGGCCTCGGATGCCCGGTCCTCGAGACACATTTATGAGGCAACCATTGCTCAGATTGTCCCAGCTCGACGAGAGGAGCAACGGGCTTCTTCTCCCGATGCCCTCGGCGACGAAGATGAACAGTTGGGTGTAGCTTCGCCAAACGAGTTCTCACAGCCTCGAACATCAGACTGGATTCAAGCGCAGGCTCCGGTGCCCAAACTGCGACATCCAATGCGACAAGGTATCCCGGAGCACTCCGTTGCAACAAACACCACACCTATCGACGGCATGGTTGTCAGTCGTTTCAGTCGGTTTGGCCTTGATCACACAACGCCACAGAGCTCGGTCTTCGATCCCAATAGCCCGTCAAATACAAACAGAACGTCGGTGTACTCAGATTCTCCCACTCACTCGTCATCAAACGGGACATCGCCCAAGATTCCCATCAGCGAGATGAGGACATCATCGCTAGCGGCATTCCAGTTTGAACCTACTCCTCCGCTTCCTCCACCTGGACAATTCAGTGATGGGTTAATGCTGGCCAATGAGCAAGCTGCAGCAGACGGCGTGCTTAGCGTTGAACGGACATCTACGCTCATTAAAGACGACGAATGCTTGATAGGGCCAAAGAGCTCGTTTCACCAAGTCAAGGGCTTCTGCGACGGTGCTCAAGCTTTCCGACGAGGAGGATACTGGCACGGTCTCAAGCAAACAATGGCATATGTCAGTACGACGGTCGAACAACGTAGCTTAGCTAATTTGAATCAGGGAGAGCCGCTTCCGATCGGTCGCTGTTTGAATTGCGAATATTACCAAGTGTACAATGAGCTTAGTTTGGATAAAGAAGGAGACTGTAAGTTCCGAACATCCCGTACATTGAATGGCGTCGCTAATTGTCAATCAAGCTCGCGCCAATTTCTTGAAATTCGGCCTGCTATACCGTATGAGATTTCTCATCAAGTCTCACATTTCAGCCCGAACAACATCAGAGATCCGATACGCTTGTCTGTTCTGCACCCATGATGGACATACCGTCCACGAGGGCGATGCCACCGTCTTCTTAAGCGCAGATCAACTTCTTAAGCACCTCGCACGACACCCGCAACCACTACCCGAAATTCCAGGCGTGACAGTCCTCTATGGCAAGGTCGACGGAGACCATCGTCAGATCGAGGACTATGACGTTCACTTCCCGTCTCCACCAGCTCCCAGTCTCTTTCCCGATATTAACTCGCTCTTCCAATTGCCCACAGCCACAGCCCTCAAGAACCACGTGCAGCGATGGGGAGAAGTTTTGACGGATCCGGATGGTAACACAGACGTCCTAAAGTTTATGGCCGGCGCAAAGATCGTGGGGATCGAGTTTCCGGACAAATGGGGCGGAAAGTGGTGTACGGGCTGGCACGATGGCACAAGAGGACCCTTTCCAGCAAAGCATGTGGAGATCGAAGGTCCAAAGCAGAATGAAATTTCTTTGCAATCGGCCGGCGCTGTGTCTTTGACGACAAGATGGAAATGGGATCCGCCGGACACCGCCAGGACGGGATGGTTGGTATTTGGGAAGAATGAGACGATCAAGAACGTTGGATGTGAGTCACCCGTTGACGAAGCCTTAAGGATACAGTTAGTAGCTGACGATATCTCACGCAGGGCTATACCAGGATCATTGGTGTTGGTCAGGTACAAATAGCAAAGGGAAGTTTGGGATTTTCCCACGCTCGCATATCAACCCACACTCCTTGAAAGAGGGTGTCGTATCGCCAACAACAAAACGACCACAAGCTAGTGGGCCTATGAGACTGTTCAGCCGAAGACGGCAAAGTAGCATTGCCTCCTCCATGAGCGGCGATACGTGAGAAACGAGAAGTATTCAATGTTTATATGTCAATTCAAATAGAACCAAGTATCATGCCGTTGCATGGACTGCCAAGTTCCAAAAACTCTATGGCAAAGTCTACAGGTCCTCACCATCGTTCAGGCCACCAGGTCTACCATTGGTGACTTCATAATGAACAGATCGGTCTTCAAATAAGGGCATATCCGCGACGTCGTGAGGCAAAGTCACAGTTTCAGAATAGGCCATGACTCTGAGGGATGGAATCGTTTCTCTGGAAACTTGCTCTCCGCGCATCTAGGCTGAAGTTAGTGACTGAACTGTGGCAACCTTGAAACTTGCAAAACTCACGTTGACGACTCTCCAATGGAGATTGCGAACTAAGAATGGAACCACCATTTCCGGGGTCAAATCATCGATACGACAATCGTACAACTCTTGCTGACTGTCCCAGTACGTCAACAGAGCTGGTGTCAAAGCGACGGTGTCCATATACTTGAAACCAGAAGCTTCTTGTTTTGCGCAATTAGCACAGCCACCATCGTCAATTGCGGCTCTTGCGCTGGCGAAGATCCCGCTGGAGCCCGCAAGGTGTGGCTCAAGGACCCAGTCCTCTAGCCGCGGACTGAAGTCTCCGAGAAAGAAGTATATCATAAAGGACCCGTCGAGGCAGAATCTACGAAGAGCATCAAATTAGCTGGCATTATTCTACTGCGCTTTAGCTAGGAAGTAGACTTCAAATTCACTTACTTGTCAACGCTGAACGTAACGTTCCACTGTGTCATCTTGTGATTGGTGACTAAATCGCCAAGGTGACCATAGCAGTGCTTGTAGCCAATATGCTGCGCCGGGAGTGCAGACGAGATTACATTTTGCTTGAGTTGCTGAGGCGTGAATTTAGAGGGGAGGAACTCTCGGACGGGAGTTGTTGGCTTTTCTGGCCTCACGAGCTTCTTGGGCGACATCGACTTGGCTATCGTTGTTGCCCTTGCGAGGATTCTCCGAGGTCGTGATAGTGACTTGGCGACAACTGCGGGAGTGACTGCTGTTTCTCGAGGAGAAGCGGCCATGGATCCTATGAAGGCTTGTCCGGCCCTCAACGCCGTGGTCCCATCGATCAAGACCTTGGCTGGGAAGGACGGAATTGGTTGAACGATTTGACGCTTGAGCTGCGTACGTGCCCCTTCGTCTGCCGGCTGGGGGTTTCTCGGAGCCAGCCATCCCAGCTGGGTGTTTGCCCAGGCTGTCAGGGATCTGACTGGGTCAGACGATTTGCGTGCTGCAGCTGTCTGTGGATAGTCGTATCCAAGATCCAAATGATTTCGACAGTCATTGGAAGTCCACCATATGGGTTTCGCGTCGGCTGTGAGGCCTTTGCGGAAAGGAGCCAGAGGAGTTCGGGGAGTTTCTGGGAGACTACCAGGCTCTACAAAATTGCCTTCTGGGACTTCCAGAGACGTCCACCACGAGACGGACTCAGCATCGCGGGAATGGATGCCCTGCCATATGGCGAGAAGACGGTCGACATTGCTTGAATTTGTTAGTTTTATGCTTGTAGTCGTTTTAAAAGGCACCTACCAATGATGAAGCCAGAAGCTGGGGTCAAAGCTGTTAATAGTGTCAGTGCTTTGTCCATTCAAGACAATGATATGATGAACTTACCCAGCGAACGCAGGGGTTCCCATATGTCCACTTGCGTTGCGAGGACCTGTAGCTATCTGACCGTGAATATTGTCGTGGAACCCTTCCAAGGAGTTTGCGTTGTAGACGACGTCATTCGGATCTCGAACTCTTGGATCATAGTGGTTTGACATTTGTACCCAGCTCTGCCTGTCAAACATAACGCGCCAGATACCAGCGGGCGTCTGGCTGGAGAGGCCGTTGGCGGGGTTGTACACATTATCGAATGCCCTGATCACATAGCTGTGGTCAGCTGATTGAGTATTCGCGTTCAAACCGCGGATGGTGCGCTCTCTTGCAGCTGGGATTCGGCTGTAGATTGACCAGTCGAAACCTCCTTTCTTATCTACAGGAAAGTTGAACTGGTAAAGGGGATTTGTCATGGGTACCCATCTAGTTGGATTCTCGGGCCGTCGGACTTGAATCTGCGGCAGCGTGAAGATTATCGGGATGCCGTAGGTGTAAACATCTCCACCACTGGCCTTCTGGCGCGGGAGGAAGGGATCAAAGTAAGGAATCCGAAACCGATCGAGAGCCCCCTGTGCTCGCAGTCGAGGCGCGATCTCAGCGGCGTGAAGGTAAAGAGCTTGCTACAAATCGTTAATAGGTGCTTTGGCGAACAGCCCTAGTGGCCCTACCTCAAATTGTGCCAGATACACGCGATGCCATGTTGGAAAGATAACTGAGCCATGCGAGCAGTATCCCTTTTGAGAATCTGTCCGACCAGGTGCTGAGCCAAAGTTCACAGAGCCAACCCGATCCCAAGCTCGCCAAGGCTGGCCATGGATGCCAGAGATCTCATAGTACGAGAAGAGAGTTTCAGAAATGCTTTTGCTCATGAAAGCTTCCAAAGCAAGAAAGTAAAGATTCGCAAGCTCAACATCCTGTATGAAGTCGTCGATCTCGAGCCGAAGCGGTCTTTCTGTTGATCTCGGGATCACGCCGACAGTAAGACCTTTATCTTGGGCAACTTTGAGGGCATTCACGTCAACAGACATTGTGAATAGTGGTGCTGAATTGTTGTCTAGGAAAAAATCAAGAATCCTCAGTTATTCGTACACTCAAGTAATCACGAGTTTTTAAGACAAAACAGCGAGTCTTAGGTTATCAATCATCAGTGTTTGAATCAGTCGACCGCCTCCAGTAGGTTTCCGTGGGCCTCAAAATACGAGAAGGCACTCCGTGTGCCTCGCGTCACGGTATGACCACATCATTCCGCAACTTTCGTCTTGTGCAAAGGACTGGTGCAACAGAATGGTTGTCACTTAGTCGTATAGACGCACAGTCGATCTGTTCTACGTGTGTAGCGAAAGTTGCCAAGATGATGTTGGCGCAAACGGCTTGATCTGTTATTGGACTGTCGTCCGCTTAGTCCAAAAGAGTGGCGTAAACGGTCCATCGACACCGCCCTAATTCTTAACTTCCATAGTCACCTGGCCTATGTGCGGGGAGACCGTTGACTTTTGAGAAGCTAGCAGATGAGAAGCTAGCAGAATTGATGGAGGTCAGCAAAAGGATGGGTTCTCCTGGCTTCATGAAAAGCGGGAGGAAGGAATCTAGTCAGCCAGGCGAGCGATCATTCACACGTGTCTCGCTAAGACTTTCAAGGTTGGCTGTAAGATGGCCTAGACATGATCCGAGACTGAGGCTTTGTGGCGCTGGGGACTGCATCCCAGCTGAGAAAGAGCATGCCAATGGCCATCTCAAAGCGAAAACATATTTCACCCAGTGTCAACAATTGAAATCTTCACGCGTGATGCAGAGAGCCTACGCGCAAGCTTGCGGGATGTTGTTAGACAACAAAATGCAGCTTTGCGATCTATCATATTGATCAAGAATTCAGGTGCATTTGAGTTTGAACCAAACGGGAAGTCATTGGCCAGAACTCACATCGGACAGACACCGACCATGTGCAACTTCAAGTACAACTTGTTAGCAAATTGAAATGACTGTGTTTGATCTAATTTATGTCGGGAAGCTAGTCTCAGCTTGGGGCGCACAACGGTTGGCTTGGCGCTGCAAGCCTAAAAGTTTTCTTTTGGCCAGCAATGTGTGTTACCAGTGGGCGAATGAACTTGTGGAATCGGCTTGAATAATAAACCAGAACCTTCTGACGCGATTGTCTAATGGGCCCTAATGACTTGGCACACGGGTTGGCTGTTGGATCCTTCAGATGACCAGTCATCTGCAAAGAGCAGCCGAGGACCTCCATAATCTCGCGAGTATCACTGTGGAGTTGAGTATGTCGCTTTCTCTCTTTTGAAATCGCGCGAGCTGCACATGAAGGAAGGACATAAGATTAGATCATTCAAGGCGCGCCCGGACGAGTTGGTTTTGACACGCAGTTGATCGGTCGTAGATCAACTACGAGGTGATCATCCCCCGGAAACATGGACATTAGAGAAAACACATTTTGAGCCGCAAGCCTCGCATCCAGGTTGAATACAATGAATTATTGAAAGTCAATCAACTCAAAGGAAACCAAACTCCTCGGATGGCACAGACAAAAATCTCCGTGCCGTGATGCCCGTGCTTGACTTGTCAGTCAACCTTCAAGCTCGCCGATCATCATTACTGATAAAAGGCTCTTCAAAAAGCTCGGAATCCACGGACGCTAAGATAAGCCTCTCGTCTCCAGTTCTTCCTCAGCCTTATCGCTGCATGGGCATTAATGAACAGCAGTGTATCTGTGCTGAAGGACAATTCGCGGTGCATCACTGAAGCTTCTAGGATCCACACGCAGGGAAGAGAGCTCACTCATCAAAATCAATAGTGTTCACAAGTTTTTGACGCCGAAGGATGCACACCTCTCTGTCGATCGTACTTTACCGTTTCCTTTCGAACTATCCAGACCGAATTTTGCTCTCGTATTGATCGCGATCTACACTCGCCCTTTCCCCAGGTGAACCGACGCGATTTCGTCGAGTCGCGCCACGCCTGATTGGCATAATCCCAGCTCGGAACCCGGCCGTCAATCCCAATTGGGCATGTCAACAAACGCCATGACAGCACGTTAAGGCGAGTGCTCAGGGGAACGGCAGGGTTGTGCCGCATAAGAGTCTCGAATTAGGTGCCTTCATTCGATATCCATAATTACGAGCTCAATTCGATAGTGGGGTTTCCCAGAGACTTTTGACAATTGGGTTAAGCGGGATGGGTCCGCTCATCTCCGCATGCAGCTCAGCGTCCTGGAAGCATGGCAGCGCGGGAAAGATCACGTTTGGGGTCCGGTCGGGTTCCAGTGGGATGGGTTATTCGCCAATGTCGGTTGCGCGAATGCGGTTTCTCACACAAGATCAGATATCGAGGCGCAAATAGATGGAGGGAGTCCAGTAGCAACGCTTCAACATTAGTCTATAAACCTGAATCAAGCTCAAGCCAGAGCGACGCCAGACATCCCATCCGTTTTTATGTGGTATAATCCTCTCTACATCCCATTCCAATGCGCTTCGCCGGTGATCGCTACTTGTCTCGTTCGTAGCCGTGCGGTGTTGGTATCATATCGGTCAGAAATCACTCTAATAAAACAAGATCGCGCGGGCGAACTGCTTAGAAGAGCATGTAGGCGGCAAGGGCGACGGAGCCGAAGATGGCGAAGGTGGACTTGACGGCGGAAGCGCTGCTGGGAGCAGAGGTAGAGGTGCCAGAGGCAGCCGAGCCGGTAGCAGTGCCAGAAGCGGTGCCTGAAGCCGAAGCGTCAGTTCCGGTGGCCGAGGCGGTAGCAGTGCCGGTGGTCACGGTGGTCAGACCAGAGGCAGAGGCGGTCTTGGTGACGGAAGCAGAGCCAGTGGCCGAGCCGGAGGAAGACGCACCAGTGGCAGAGGCAGTAGCAGAGGCAGAGCCGGAGGCGCTGGCGGAGCCAGAAGCAGTAGCGGAAGCAGAAGCAGAGGCGGAAGAGGAGTCTAGGGAAAATCAGTACAAGCTTCTCGGTAAGATGCGCCATGGCGCTTGAAATTCATCACGTACCGTCAGAGTCAGAGGTGAGGCTGAACTCCTCAGACTGGGCCAGAATGCCAGAGTTCTGGGTGTCGGTGGAGACGAAGTTGATGCGGTACTTGTCGCCGGCGCTGAGCTTGGCGTCCTTCAGGTCGTACTTGCCATCGGAGGTCTGGACAGTGGCGATGGTGGTGGAAGTCTCGGGGTAGGCAGACTGGTTGACGACGACGATCTCGAAAGACTTGGGGTCGGTGTTGACAGAGTCCCACTTGATCTCGTTGGTCTCGGAGACATCCCACTCGGCGTTCTTCGCGGGGGAGGTGACCTTAATGGCCTCGGCGGCGGCCAGGAGGGAGGTGATGGCGAGAGCAGTCTTGGAGTACATCTTGTCGGTTGGTGGAAAATTAAGTAAGAGAGTGGTTTTTGGTTTTTGTGTTTTTTGGTATTAGAATAAGTACGAGTCTTTAGCGAGTGACTAGAACGAATGTTCGGAATTGGTGAATCGAGAAGAAGTTGATTGAACGAGCAGGACAAGACCAGAAGATTGAGCTCCGGTCGTCAAGCTTTATAAACAGACCATTTACAGAACACCCCTGTCGATGCTTTTGCGAGTCAGGCCTGATGCCCGCAGCCCCTAAGGGCTCCCCACCGCCCCATCTCGTATGGAAAACCGACCTTCAGAGAATTTTAGATTGCTCTTAAGCATGAACGGCGAGCCTGTCGTTTGATTCGGTCGCCAGTGACGTCGCTGTTCCCTGCCATAGGGCGCGCGAAGGATGCTGTCAACCTCCACTGGACCTCGTAATGAAGGACTCGTCGGCCGGTATTGCCGAGACGGCCACTCTGAGTTACGCCAATAGAGTTCAGTGTCAACTGGAGATAACGAAGCTTGGTTTCGAGAAAGTTTGGCTGCTTGTTTGCCGCGAGAAACGAGCATCAGCATGGGCGCTCTTCCACACGCGTCGCTGGGCTATCCAATCAAGGCCGTGTCATTTGCATCTCATCTCCATCACTTGAACATACGAGATGGAGTGCAGCAGGGCCTCCAATGTTCGAATTGTGAATGACAGGCTAAAATAAGTAACTGCCTAGTACAGATACGGCTGCTGCGGTACCTTACATAGCGAGCCGTCCCCCGCCTGCTGTTGATTTCCACCTCAAGCGATCCAGTGTGGTAATGGTAACGGGGTTCGCCTCTCCGGGCTCTCCAGACTTCCGGCTGGGATGCAGGCACCGAAGTTCTCACGCGGGCTCAGAAAAATTCCCGGCCCACGCTAACACAGGCTTGTCCCGGTGGGCTGCCCTCATCAGCCCTTTTTTACCTGAGGGACGCAAGGGATTCTCGTGGCAGCAAGACACCTAATCTTTCTGGTTGGAAAAAGAAAAGTCGGGCTCTAGCTCATTTCTTATCAATCCTATCATTTGCCTCTACGATTCGATCGCTGGCCCTTCTGGCTGTGGCGCCATGCTCCGATGTCCCGGCCGAGTTTTTCCCGCCCAGCAAAAGGGGCTCATCACAGAGCCTGTTCGACTGGCACCTCGCGTGTGATTCAGCCCCTTCCGATGGCGATCAGTGGCAACGGCCCTGGTCGTTTTGTGTATGGACCGCGAGCTTGTCATTTGTCAATCCGAGTTGACGCCCAACAACTTTTTGCTTTTACGGTGGGCACACCGCCGCCAAGCTGGCCCAAAAGTTCCGGCAGCGGAACTCCTCCTGACGGCGTGATTTCAGGAGAGCGCCTCACGAGGCTTAGCATATCAGATCATCCATCTTGTGCATCCCCAGTCCCGTTCATACTTCGTAAAATTCATCACTGGAAACTGCCATATTCACTCGGGTAAACTGTCGGGGCTTTCATGCCTCGGTGGATTGCTGAGCAAAGAAGCCGGGCCCGACTTCTGACCCAATAGTGCATTCCGAAGACCCATGTTTCTCGCCCCAGGTGGAGGTTGTGGCCAAAGCGGCGTAGCTATTTCCCAGCCTAGTGGTACTCGGAAGCAAGCGGATGGAGTCAATGATGCAAATTTGACATCTACGCAGTAACATTCAGAAACTTGGACAGCATCGAAGACAGAATTGCAACGAACATCATGTTCTTTTGACTAAACCAGATTATGAATTGAGATGAGTTTGAACATTTACTTTGCTCAACGTCCATCTAAAGCAAAGGTATCTGTTACGACTGTTCGACTGGCAGGCGAGAACTAGGTTGGTTCTGATCCCATCTGTAGGAACACAACTAGAACAGCAGAGTATCTGTAGTAGTAAAGTCAGCATTGTTATACATTCCTAAAAACAACCTTCCTATCCAACCGAATGCTTCTAAGTATCTGAGTGGCAAGGGCAATGTGTACGACGATAACAATACTCGAGAAGCCGGCGAGGACGGCTAGAAGCCCAAGTATGCAAGACGATACGGTGGAATACAGGGAGAACCGTGAAAGGATTACTAGAGTAAGAGGAAGATGAGAACAAAATGACGGAGACAATGGCAGCAATCCGCGCGGATAGCAAAACTGGATGTGATATCCCGAGAATTACGTAGTCGACAAGGAGAACTGACCCAGCTGTTGCCGCCAGAACCTCAAAGGGCCTGGCCACGATACCCCAGTTCATGACTGTTAGGAAAACAAGAAGAAGCAGACTAATCGAGATCAGCTTATGCCACTCTTTGTCGAGCGCAGCTAGCAACCACAACGGGCCCACCAGCATTACCAAAGCAACGACGTAAATTCCGACGCGGTGCATGACGCGCAGTTTTCCTGCGTCATAATGAATCGCTAGGTCATGGGCAGTCCGCTCTTTTGAGGGATGCGTCTGTCTTCCCAGCCAGCCGATGAATGGTAGTTCAATATTCGTCTCAAGGAATCGTTGAGCTGTAGACTTTTTCTGCCCCACCATCGAAATCAGATCCTTCCGATTGAGAAATTCGACTTCATCTTGCTCAATCGGTTTATTCATGTTATCGAGCCACCTTCTCATATTTCGGACGACGACAGGTGGGGCTTCCTGAGCTCCTCGTAACTGTAGATACTGACAGACTAAGCTGTCTCCATGAATGTGAGCTGTATTTTTTCTAAGCTTTGCAATGAATCGGCGATGAAATACCGTATCGTATCAGCGCATCATGTATTTGGTCAAGAAGCTCCCTCCTCTCCGGCTGGTCCTTACGAAAGCTACCATTGTCGACGTCGGGATTCTGACGTTGAGACAATCGGCCATCAAGCGAGTTAAGCTTCTCTTCAAGGTCTGTCAATCGGTCTTGAAGAGCAAGGAGAGTGCGATTGTGCAACTCATCAAAGCGTCTGAGGGCAAAGTAGTCATCTGAGAGGGCAGAGAACTTGGCAAAATCTTTGTACCCGACATATTTCCTTTCTCGGATGGTCAGTCATTTGACAATAGCATTGAGCCCAAGTTGCCACTCACCACGGCTTTTCGTCCAGATCATCCTGGGACAAAATCTGTTCCTCGACGCCGTTCGATGCCATTTCTGGCGAAGTAGCCTCGATAAAAGGACTTCCTTCAATAAGACAACATGAGGAAGGAGAGAATCAGAAGACAGAGGTTGAGAAGAACGACCTAGATAATGTAGAATCCAGGCCGCCCTAGGTAAATGATTGACGGACAGATCAGGCTGGCGGCAAAGCCTTCATGCGGTAAAACCATAGACATTAGATGTAGGAAGCTTTAGACTTAAACGGTATTGCTCAGCCTCAACACGAGTACTCGGCGTGCAGGATGCCTCAGCCGTAAGCGGTTCTGCTCTATTCCTTGGTGCAGTCGCCTCACTTCTCAGATCTGCAGTCAGCATCGCATATCGCGTGCTACGAAACGCTCACGGGACGGTAGAATAGCCAATTAGAATGAAAGAGCCTCATATTACTTGCATACACATCCGAATTGAATGCGCCACGTCATTTACTTTCACAACAGTATGATCGTCAACTTGCAAAACAGAAAGTGCAAAACTGCATCGCTCATTTGTTGAAGAGTATTTCTTTTTGGCGTTCGCCGGTCATGGCTTAATGTTCCGATTTTTATTCACGGACCGTAATACACTCCCATACTCCATCGCGATAGAGTGTGTGCGCACACCGTCAGTGCGTCTTTCAATATGCCATCCGTAAGAAATCTTAGATCTAAAGCATACTGTGAAACTCAGGCTGACAGTCTAGTAGGATGATGCTTCGGCGAGTCCGATCCTAGATATCTATATATCCGAGTCAACTACATCAACTCCAATTTTAGATGGGGATGCCGGTATTATTCCACAGTTTCACTGCTTTGGGGAAGAGACAAAGCTGGGGTGAAGAGGTACACATCGTTGATTGACTTCTCAAAATTAGGGATCGTTCAGGCTCGCGACAAATCAGCCAATCCACCAAAACCTCCAGCCCCTCGTCCAAAGTGACAAAGTTTTAACAGGGTTTTTGGCAAAGCTAGAACCATCGTGCTGTATTCAATAACGTGGAACCTTCCCCCGTCAAGATCACTCATTAAAACACGAGTCGGAGAAGCTAGAGTGCGAATGGTATTTTGGGAATTGGAGTTGGGCAGGTCTGTTAACGTATGGTCCATTCACAATGGTGAAGTTGCTCAGGTAGTTGGCAATCTTTGAAGAAGATTGCGCCAAATATTCGAGAGCTTGGTCGATGACGCTTTGAGGACAGCACGTATGTTGCTTCCCCTTTTGTTCTTTTACAAGCCCCATGACAGAAGCTATGGCGCCACACAAGGGAACGACATTTTCCGTTTCCCGAAGCACGGGGTTTTCAAATTTGTATCTATTAGTGGTGGAAGTTGCAATCGCTGTTTGAAAGCACTAAGCATGGGCGCGGAGACTGTGCCTCAGAACCAAGCGTGGATGGAAGGGGTACGTGTAGGACGAGGCATGGTTTAATGATACATCCATTAATTGTTTTCAAAGGCTTCATACTGACAAAGGCTTATATCTCTGAATATTTGAAATGATTGAACTATCATCTTAGCTGGCGACACTAGGTCAAGTGGCGTCTCCCATAAACCCCATCTGAAGCAGTGAGGTTGGCCTTGAAATTGGGCCGGCTCATGACTAAAAGATGTAGTTTCATACACTCTTGTGTGTCGGTCGCAGCTAACCATTGCCGATGACGGAGGAATGCTGTACAAGGGCACCCATCATGTCGGTCAATCATAAGTCTCACCGGCGGCCGAAAGTACTCACCGAGACTCCGACTGACCGAGCAGGAGACCTTTTGTGCAACCATCAAATGCGCCCCGCTCACGTCACCAGAGCTTATTTCCAGCCTTGTGAAAGGGTTGCAACGGGAAACTACATAAAACTCCACCACCTGTGCAGAGCCGGAGCCCTCGGGCATTCAGCCATCTGCAGCGATCGTCTACGCCGCGAACGTGCGCGTGGGTCATTTCTTTAAGCTTATTTAACGTAGCCTTCGCTAATCTGAACACAGGAGGTTGCAGTATGTGGTTTTATCGGCTGAGTTTAGCGGCTTCTGGGCGAAGCTATTCTCGCCAAGATCGCGGCTAGGGCAGGATTATGAATCAGGAGGTATTTTGACGTGAGACAAAATGAACGCGTTTCAGGCCTCATCGATCATGTGACTGAATGACATAGCTTCACGGTTTAAGGCTTTTCAGACTACGGCATGGGGCTTGCGCGCGCACGTCGTTTTCAGATGTTGGAAGTGGGCAGGGCTTATGCACACTCGTGCTCATAAAGGAGTCCTGTACAATGAATCTCATAGACATCGTTATCCTTATTGCATCAAAACTCGTGGTATCATTATTCCCTTCCACTCAAGGTATCTGCATCTGTTCCACAACGTTCACCTCGAACGACAACCTCACATCGCAGTCCTAATTGCAATGACTTATACATCGAGCAAGGCCTTTCTGGGCTTCTTTGCTCTGAATAGCATGGTCTGGCCGATAACCCAAGTCTCAACCTCCTCAAACTCCTGGTCTAGTGCATCCTTGACGTCCTCCTCCTTGTCGTCCCAGTTGTTGAAGACACCCCACCACTTGTTATACCATGTGAGATAGAACCTCGTAAGGAAGTTGGTAGATTGTCTAGGCCCCAGTACGGTGCAACCAGCGAGGACTCCGTCCTCACTCAGCAGCTCCTTGTACGTCCCGAAAGCACGGAACTTTGACTTGCCACCAGGCATGCAGTGGAAGAGGTTGAACATAGTGATAGTGTCATAGCGCTCGCCAAGGAGCTGCTTTGGCGGCGGCTCCGTGACGTCGGCCTCTACGCAGTCGACTTCAGTAGCCGACGTCACGGACAGGACGCGGGTCTTGGTGGCATTCAACGGCGGCGCGGTCAAGTCCACGAGGGTAAGACGTTGCCTGCTGTTGGCACGGAATGGCCTCGCCAGCGCGACGGCGGGAAAGTAGCCGGTAGCGACGCCGACATCGAGGTGGTTGCGCGAGAAGTTCTCGCTGAAGAAGGGAAGGAGGATGTTGTCTGTGGGACACCCCCACATGTACTTCATGTTGAAGCCGAGGACATATTTGTCATAGAAGATGGTGAGAAAAGACGGTGAGTAGACGGTCTTGTACGTTGTGTTAGTCATCGTGGGCAACGACGAGTGAGAACAATGGATGGGGATGAGAGTGGGAATGAAGAGCGGTGCGGTTCAGTTGGGATCGCTCATGGATGGGCAAGGGCGCTGCAAGAAGAACAAAACCTTGAGATCATCCGGGAGGTGGCCGGTTATCACCTTGCCGGTGGCAATGCCCAGCGGCAGGGCGATTGTGTTCCACGACCCGTACACACCCGTTCGTGTGAAGTGGCCGTCTGGCACATGCATTGGAGTGGGTTGCCGTATCCGTTCTACGATTTGTGTATGCATGTTCTCAAATGCTTGTTGGCGCTAAAGTCGTTGTTGCTTGACCATTTGCCTTGAATGGAACCCAGATTGCTGATCAATTGGTCGAATACGTGTAAATCCCTCAATGGCCCCATTCCGAGTGGCATTCTACTGATGCCATGCACGTCGCCTGCATGCCAATTCTTCAACAAATCGAACTAAATTGCTTAGGGGGTCATGTGGGAATGGCCTCGCCCAGATCATCAACTGCAAAGTACTCCGCGCCTGCATGCATGCAGCCATGCTCTGATCAGGACCCTTGTTTGCACTGTATATTGATTCCAGACAATCGATTGTACTCAATGGGGCTATGCAAACCGCCATGACAATTACAAGAATATTTGATTGTCTTCTCCTTTTGATAATGAAGCCCAATATTATCATAATTCCGCTCTTTGCAAGCGGCGCGTGGGGGTATTCCGACCAATCCCTTCCATGTAAAAAGCAAACACATGTTTTTTTCTGATATCCTTATTCCGCGTGTGAACTGAGGTTGGAAGTAGAAATTGACGCCTTTGCCGACCGTGACGAGCTGGCCAGGGAGACAGAAGACGATGTACCGCTACGCGGCTTTCGGCAGTAGACCGTAAGCCTTGTTATGCGATGACTGGTTAACAGAGAACACGCAAACCGGTTTGCGGACGGGACAGGGGACTCGGCTTACAATGTCATGAACGAATGGTAGTTTGTATCGCCAATCTCTTCACGGACGTCTTTAACCAACGCAAGCACTTGGGGCTCGGTCCAGCCGAGACCAATGGTGAAAACCGGGACACTGAGCGGCTCGATGATGGCATTCCAGTTCTTGGTCATCATGGCACCGAATCTTTGGCACTTCTTGCCCGGATAACACGAGTTCGTGGGGGCAGCATGCTTCGTTATCTTCATCCTCTCGAAGCCGGCCTTCTCTAAGATAGGCTGGTAATGGTTCGGATAGTGTAGCGATCGTCCCATGTTCTGCAGGCCTTGTCGGAGCAGCAGATTCCATTTGTGGAATGCGCTGCCCTCCAAGGATCGGTTTGGAGACTGGAGTATGGCAATCCACTCTGTGAACTCAGCCCAGCCGCCAGGATTCAAGTGGTCGTAGACGGACTTGATGAGTTGTTCCTTCTCTGACACATCACCAAGCATACGGACATGGATAAAGTCGAATTGCCTGTTTAGGTTCCAATCCGCTGTCGCGTCCATGATTTTGAATGAGCAGTTGGACACCGAATATGGTGGGCGAACCTTCTCAATGTCAATCCCCAGTACGGCACAGTTGGGATTCTTCTTGGCTGTTGTTGGAACAAGGGTTAGTGTGGACCACGTTATGAGGCCTTGAAAGCCAACATGAGCAACTTGCCGTATTCCTGCGTCCATGTCAGCCGGCTATTCCGTGATGTGTTCATGCGTGCGTAAAGGAAGAAGGGTAGTGATGATGCACGTACTAATGCCCATAACCCTGGCCCAGTGCCAATGTCCAGAACGGCCCTGGCCTTCACGACCGGGGCAAGGTGGAGTCTACCATCGAAGAGTTCGGCGATGATCTGATGTTGGAGCACTGTTTGCGGGTTAAGACGTGTTGGACGAGGCTGGAAGAGACGCAGCTTGGTGGATGGGATGAAGTTCTAACCATTTCTGTCTTGTTCCTCCTGGTCGTCAAATCTCGGGTCAGCGGACGCAAACATGGCAAACCTGAACTCTAAGCGAGGGTTCACGAACCTTGCTGTTTGGTACGAAGCCAAAACGCTTGCCAGTCTTAGCGAACTTTGAGAAGATTGAGGAGAAGATCGACTTCTTGGACTTGGTACGTGTGGTGGCGGACCTATCACGTTGGTTCCGGCGGTTAGTTGAACATGAGATATGATGGCAGATTTCATGTCAATGATGGACAGCAGTGGGGGGTTGGCACCGGTGTAGCACAAGGGAGGCTTACCGGGACGGCGCGCGAGTGCTCGGGTGCGGCGTCGAATCGTCGGTGGAATCGTCCAGGTCAGAGTCCGATGCTCCCGCCCACACCGCCCGATCGACTTCATCAGATGTCGGGCTGGGGTGATCTTCAGGGTAGTCCTGTCGTGTTACGAGCTTCAATTGCTATTCAGAGACAGAGACAGGATTGCTGGGTGCTAAACCACATGCTTGGGCTACATGTTTGGGGTTTGGGGCCACGCCAAGAAGTAAAAATAAATAAAAATAAGAAACGACAGCACATACGTCTTGTTTGGACGACAGCACGGATATGGAGGGTCTGGTAGAGGGCGGCGTATGCGGCCGGGCGCTGTCGGTGGAAAAGTTACGGGGGAGTTCGGACGACATGGACGACGAAGTAGCGGTGAGCGTCGATGTGGAGGCGACCGAGACGCTGTTCGCAGCCGTTGGAGGACGCCGCGGCTGTCGTCCCAGGAGTTGGTTGTACTTGTCCATCAACTTGCGGGCCGCTCCGAAAAGGCCGTGAGCAAAGGAGGGGAAAAGAGAGGGGAAGAAGAGGAGGGACGGGAGGGGGGATGGGGGGAGAAAGTTGTCCGGTCTACTGCCGATGCGCGATGTGATGCACTAAGGTTGCAAGCAGGCTGGCACGCAAGGACGCAGATAGGCGCAGTAGACGCAAGGGAAGAATTCAGACTTAATGAACGAGCAAAAGAGAAGCGGGATAGACAAGGTCGTCCCATGGACAGAATGGGTTCGTCCTGTTTTTTCATGCTTGGGGAAAGGGGCTAGGGCAAGTAGTTTATTTTTCCTTAGGTGCCACTGAGCGCACTGCCGCCCTCGACATCCCTGTCATTCTGGATGTTTGCTTGTTCCAGTTCAGCGCTGCTGGAACCGTAACCCGGTAAAATGACCGGTCTAGATGGTGGAGAACTACGACATATAATTGGGCTTCGCCGGCCGTTTACCAGGACATGCTCCTGACGTGGTCATAACTCATATGCCCAAGACTCAGCCAACCTCCTAGCGAACGTCTGAGCGAAGACAAGATAAATAGGGGAGGATCCCCTTTTGTAGGTTGTGGGAAAAAACTCTTCGGCACTTTTGTCATAACGGCCTTATCGCGGGTCTTCCGGCCCCCGGCTCCAACGTATCGAGCGGCACCTGAGGGTCGCAGGCCGGCTAGTCATGAACTTACATTACTTTTGGTATGTGTATGGAGCGGATTGAGCGAGGAGGTCGGCAAAAGATACGATTACGGCCCCCTATCGCCCGGCGGTCATGGGCATTAGCATAAAACTGCCGCCCTGCCGAACATTGATTGGTTTCCGCACCCCAGTAGTTATCTCTTTGATCGCCTTCGGAACCCCGGGATTCGATCCCGATTCCAATTGCGCGGCAGCATTTCAGCGAAAAGGGGGAACATGCCAAGGCCGCGACTCTCACACACCATCGATGAGACAGGCTTCACGTGCTGCCGAAGAGATGCAACAGAACGAAAACGATCCAAGCCAATCTTGTGTTCCCCCACCGCGATCCTCCAGTCAATCCGATGCGTGGGGAGGATTGCAGAGAATTTCTGCTTGCCAAATGATTGCTAAGGAAGCCGAAGGAACAACTCACCCTCCTTCGCGTTTTAGTTGCAGTGCTGCTCCTCCCGAAGTGTTCTAGGAGCCAGCAGCTGGCGGGTCGGTTCAGGATGGACCGGACGATGCCTTCCTCTTTGAATCGTACTACTACTGCGCAAGCCAATATTCTGCCTGCACAGTGGAGATTAATCCTTCTTGTACAGACTCGCTGGAGCTGTTGGAACAAATGCCCTCGTCATAATGCCATTGTATATGTGTGTTTGCTCAAGAAAGTCAAGGGTCTTGATCCTACCCGGCACTCTGGTCGTCCCGCACTGTATATGCCGGCCGGTACTCGTATTTTCTCACTGGCCTGTTGGTTCCTCACGTCGGGGGGCTGCCCTGCTTTCGTCTTAGTGCAGCGACAGGGGACATGCAAGGGTCCTCACCCTCAAATGGGCTGATGGATGTTTGCAAAGTGTGCGTCGTCATCAAACAACTGAGTCGAGACTCTCAAGTGGCGGGTTGGAACGACTTGTCCTCGGACTTGCTGGCACAGACATTGTTGGCGCAAGATGCGGCTAAATGTGACAAGCTCCAACTTGAATGCGACTTGCAAGCTGCACGACAAGCACAAGCTCCAGTCTCCCGCAAGCAGCTTCGGAAAGTATGGAGACAGCAACGGAAAACCTACCCAGCGACCTGCGGGTTATCTTGAGTTTGGTCAACTGAGCAGTGTCTGTGGATGATCGGTGTCTATCTCAGTACCAACAGCATGATGAATTGCAGCATGCAGCATCGGCGACCGACCAGGGTCACGAGCTTGCCATTCAAGCTTGACTCCGAGAGGTATTTGCCTTTAAACCAGGTCGTTGACGAGAGCCTCGGACTGCGGAAAGCTTTTTAGTCTTCATGTAAAAGTGTGCTGCCATCCCGTGGAGCCCTGATCCAAGTCTTTCCAACTTCTCTGGATATTTCGCTCTCAACAGCATATCCGCCGCCACATCCACACCACCTCACACCGCAGCTCACCGCAAGTCACCGCTCAGACCTAAGCTGAACCTTCAACCCCGGATAGGATAGTGTCTTACATTATGGGAGACCCAATTGCAATCGTTGGCCTTAGTGCAAGGCTCCCCGGTGATGGCGATACCCCTGAGCGATTTTTCGAGTCCTTACTCGCTGGAAGATCAGCCCGGACGGAAGTCCCGAGTGAGCGATACAACGCAAACGCGTTCTGGCACCCAGACGCCGAGAGGAGTGGTGCGGTGCGTAATCTATCCCAATAGCCGTTTAACAGCTTCTAGTAGTAGACTGACAAGCTGTGAAGACACGAGTCCGCCATGGCCATTTCCTCAAGGGCAGCATCAAGGCATTCGATGCGCCCTTTTTCTCAATTACACCTACGGAAGCGAAGAGTATAGATCCGCAACAGCGTGGAATGCTAGAATGTGTATACAAAGCACTCGAAAATGGTAAGAGGACACCATTGCCTCCTCTGAGATTTGTTTGATGGGTTAATGTTGACTTGTGCCATGAAACAGCCGGAATTCCTCTCGATGCGGTTGCCGGATCGCAAACCGGCGTTTACGTTGGTTGCTTTACGGCAGACTACAACGATCACATCGCGAAGGATCTGGACATCCCTAACAAGTATTCGGCGCTTGGAACAGTGGCGAGCATGCTCAGCAACAGGGTGTCATGGTTCTTCGATTTCAAGGGCCCGAGCGTAACAGTCGACACGGCTTGCTCCAGTAGTCTGGTTGCTGTGCATGAAGCTTGTATGAGCTTGAAGCTGCGGGAAGTCTCCATGGTAAGCCCAAGCTGTGGAGAGAATGCGAAGGAAGGGATGGTTTTGAGTTCAGAGTGCTGACGGATCGTCCTAGGCGGTCGTGGGCGGATGCAACCTTATCCTGACCCCCGAGATGACACTAAAGCTCGACGCCGCTGGTGTTCTGGGTCCGGACGGCAAATCCTACAGCTTTGACCACCGCGCAAACGGGTACGCGCGCGGTGAAGGGTTCGGAGCCCTTGTTTTAAAGCGGGTATCCGATGCTATTCGGGATGGAGACGTGATCCGTGCCGTCATCCGGAACTCGTCCACGAACCAAGACGGGAGATCGCCCGGCATCACGCAGCCGACCAAGGCCGGCCAGGTCGCGCTCATCAGACACGTTTATTCCAGGGCTGGGCTGGACCCATCCCTCACTCGCTTTGCCGAAGCCCATGGCACTGGCACGCCGGTGGGCGACCCCATCGAAGCGAGCGCACTGGCCGAGATCTTCGCGGCCCACCGGACGCCGGTCGATCCGTTGTACGTGGGAGCCTTGAAGAGTAATGTTGGACACTTGGAGGGCGCTGCTGGAGTTGCTGCCGTCATCAAGGGCATCTTGACGCTGGAAAGCGGCATCATCCCGGGCAACATCTGGCATGAGAAGCGGAATCCCAAGATCCTGGACTCGTGGAACCTCAAGTTCCCGACGGAGCCGACAGAATGGCCACAGCGTGGTCTGCGTCGGATGTCCATCAACTCATTCGGTGTTGGTGGAAGCAATGCTCACGTGGTTATGGATGATGCGCTGCACTTCTTGAAGCGGCACCGTCTGGTCGGTAACCACCGAACGGAGGCCGTCCCGAGGATTCCCGCCAGGTTCAGACCAGTTAATGGGGTCAAGGTGAATGGCATCAACGGCATTAATGGCACACGTAAGTTTCTGTCTATGGAGCCACTCTCTGCTAGAACTTCAGCTAACCCTATGGCTACCAGACCGTGCCCACGGTCGCCACCGTCAGGACAGTGGTGTGAACATGGGTGATGTCGAGGCCGAGTCGAACGACGTTTCCCCACGGATTTTTGTCTTCTCTGCAAACGACCCCGACGCTGTTTCAAGACTCAAGACTTTATACAAGGATCATCTCGCATCACAAGACACCGACGAGACGGCTTCTCTGCGGTACATCCGGGACCTGAGCTACACGCTTGCCTCTCGCAGGACTCAACATGCTTGGAGATCTTTCAGCATTGCGAGCTCCTCACACCAGCTCCAGAAAACTCTCGAAGATACTTCAAAGCCCACCAGAGTCAAGTCACAGCCCAGGTTAGGCTTCGTCTTCACTGGTCAAGGTGCACAATGGGCAGCCATGGGCATGGATCTCATGGTCTACCGGGCTTTCCAAGAGAGTCTTCTCGCAGCGGACAGGTATCTCAGCGATCTTGGCTGCAACTGGTCATTGACATGTAAGTTGGGACTCTTTCAATCACATTTTACCCGCCTACTAACTGACCAATCAGTCGAGCTCTCCAAGACGAAGACGTCCTCTCGAATCGATGACCCCGAGTTCTGCCAACCCATCTGCACCGCCCTCCAAGTCGCCATGGTCGATCTCCTTGCTTCATGGAGCATCTACCCCCACGCTATCACTGGCCACTCTTCAGGAGAGGTTGCCGCTGCATATGCCGCAGGTGCACTTTCCAGAGAAGCAGCCTGGAAGGTCGCCTACCACCGCGGAAGACTGAGCGCCAAGTTGATGCGTGCCGAGTCCCGTCCCAAGACCAGTATGGCTGCCATCGGCCTCGACACAGCCAAGACCGAAACTGCCATTGATCGCGTTAACCAGCTCGGCGGCGAAGGCACTCTCCAGATTGCCTGCATGAACAGCACTGACAGCCATACCGTCAGCGGTGACGCTGGAAAGATCGAAGCGCTTGTCGAGATGCTCAGCGCCGAGAAAGTGTTTGCCAGGAAACTCAACGTTGAGATTGCCTACCACTCGCAGTACATGAAGCCCATGGCCGATGAGTACCTGCAAGCAATGGGCGAG